TTTGCGTTAATGGAATTAGAATTTTATAATTTTCCGGATTTGTTAACACAAGGATATCGGTAAACACGTGATATCGGCCAATAACAACGCGCTATGTCTATATGGAAAATTTTCAGTTATGGTGAAAAATTTACTTTGCAAATTATTCTACAAATTTACAAAAAAGAAAATTTACAAATTACAATTTTTCCATTCCAATAAAATATCTTATCGGTGATACGAAATTGTTCTATATATTTTTGGTACAGTCAAACATATGTTCACTATTTTCAGAAACTTTTTTTTTTATTTACATCAAGATTATGACAATTAATTTTCTGAAAATAATTATTCCTTCTGTTCTCTGATACTGAGACGCTTAAATCCGAATCGATCGTTGAACTGTTCAATACATGGTTCTCCGGAGCGCCACATATATTGTCTCTTAAGAGTGACATCGACCGATCTCGCAAGCGTTATCGCGAACGGACACACGCCGGAGGGGCTTCTTCGAGGGGCGTTATAAATAATTCCAGGCGAGAGAGAGAGAGAGAGAGAGAGAGTCGTATAACACATCGTGGAATCGATGTTATCTGCGTCGCCGTTGACGGTTATAGCGTCATTCATCTCGCACGCGTATAGACACCCTCTCCCGCCTCGGGAAATCTGCTCCACGACCCACGACACGAGGCGTCATTATCATCGTCGTCGTGGAAGATGGACGGAGTGATTTATAACTGTGACGCGTTGTATTGTAGACTCAAGTCCGACGCTATCCAAGCAGAAAAAGAGAAATTGCGAGGAATAATGCACAATTCTTTTTTTAAGGGTCCTCCGAATATCTTTGGTATTTAAAAACTTGGCAATTGAGACAGCAATAGCATTTCGACATATTTCTTTCGAAAGGTTTCGCAATTACTGGATAATTTATGCCTCTATTATATAGATTTCGATACGATACGCGCAAAATCATCCGTTCGTGACGTGGCTTTGATCGTTTACTAAAAGTCGCCGGACTTTAGCCGGCGATAACTCAATCTTCTTATGAGATTATCCTCCCTCCGAGAATAGTGCGCAAATGGAAAGAAGTAGACCGAAGTACGCATACATACCTATATACATGCATGCCATGCATACGTATATGGCGAATCACGAGCGCGGCATTAATATGATCCGGTTATTTATAGTCCGCAGCTTTATATTTGCGGCTTATAGGTCTATTTTCGCGATAGTGTTACCTACTAATCCCACGGTTTGAACGCGAGGCTGCGAGGATCTCGTTTTATCCTCTTCATGATATCCCTTTCATCCGGTGTCTTTCATTCCGCATTTTTTTCTCTCTCTTTCTCTCTCTCTCCTTTACGCGCTCGGTTTCTCCGTGTGGGGGAATTCGACGTCGAAAAACCGGGCAATTTTCTTTTTCCTTTCCGCGTAATTATATTTTTCCTCGTCGGTTTCTTCTTCCTCCGCGTCGCCGGAATAATCCGCAAAACCTTCAATCGGGCGTGTACGGTCTACGTTTTTCATATACAAGTGATAAATTCCGTCTGGTACTTGCAAACGTAATCTTCGAAAATACTTCGCGTATAGAGCAAATTTTATTTCAAGACAAGTCGCCTTAGGGGCGTCTATTGCGTCTCTTTGTCGCTTCGAGATCCTCACCTCCCCCCCCTCCTCCCGCTCTCGTTGAAATCTTGGCGCCGCGTCTCGTGAGAAATTGCGTTACCTTCAGGATTTAACTTACTGAGTCACCGTCATCAGATCCTCGGCTTGACGTCGTTCAAATGACGCGCAACTACGTACTACGACTTGATTTCCGAAATTACACGCAATCAAGTGCAACGGAATGCGAGACGAATAGCGGTTCTCGCAGCACCTCCGGATTGGCCGTGGCCAATCCGCCAACTGGCCCCGTGTACATAAATCTCGAGTGAATTCCGGATAAAAAGGCACGTTAATTTTCGCGTTTGACAATGAAAATTCCGTCGCGAGTGTAAATATTTTACTAGCGATTAATGCTAGAGGCGGTCTCTTTTTTTTTGTGTCTTCGCGAGAAGACTCGGATGAGATAGGTGACCGCAAATCACTCTGTTTACACGGAGCATCGCAGTTACACGTGATCGTAATTTGTTCAACGAGGAAAACGATAACTGCTCGAGATTGGTAATCGTGCGAAAACAGTCACAATAAGAATCATAAATCACAGATCATGTATCACAAGTGACTCCAAGAGGGAGGGAGGAGGGGGGTACGCTAGTGTACAAAAAAAAAATAAATAAAATGTAGAGGAAAAACGTTTTTGCTAAAAATACATTTTCCGGTAATTCACGTATATATTACACGATATTATACGGTCTCGCTGATAAGCTCTCAAGGTCCGTTTAGATTTTCATGAAATAATCGGCAAATTTCCGGGAAAGTTTCGCAAACACGTGGAGTATGCCTCTGTCGTGTCGCGCCGCGCGATTGTATTGTACACGCGCGTATGCGTGTGCGTGTGTATGTGTGTATGCGATAAACTTTTATCGGCGCGACTCTCGCATAGTTCGGTATTATCCTTGCCTCGCGTTATCGAGGTAGGCCCCCAGCCGGGGTCGTTTAATTTACTACTCGTTCGACTGCCATTATTGAAAACGATCTTGGACGGTTCTTGGTTCGCGCATTCCCGCGCGTGGTTTCGACCGTGGGCGTATCGATTATATCGACGGATTTCGAGGAATGCCGAGAATTTGTGCCAGAATGACTGGGTTTTTATCAGCGATTATACGCTATCGCAACTAATGAGAATCCAGCGCGGAGCACAAGCGCAACGCAGTGCCATGGCGAGGTCCCCCGGGGAGGTTAATAAATGCAAATGCAAATCGATCGATTTGTGCGCGGCGTAGCAGTGCTAGGTGGCGACGACGCGAGATATCGATCCGGTGTGTACTTTTAATATGACCCGCGACGAAACGATAGCGTGATATATTTGCAAGCAATACCTCCGAGAGACCGCGTTTGCGATTGATTCTTTTCTGGCGGGATCATAAATTTAAAAAAAGTAGTTTGTCGCGCGACGCGATGTGTCAGACTTGATTATATAGATATTATTACTTTTTCTTATTATAATCTTATTGTTTTTTTTTGTAACATAAAACAATGAAAATATAAAGGATTGTGAAATGACAATAGTAGTCAGAAATATGTTTCTGTATAGAAAGTATTTTACATCGTACGTTTGTTTTCTCGGGATACACAAGCGGCTCTGTGTATGCCTTCATTTTATAATTTACAGCAAACGCCGATGAGTTGCGACGTTATTTATTTATACTGTGCGTCATTATCGAACGAATTCCTTGCTGGCGCCGTTTTATTATCGTCGAGATATCCCCTCGTCGTCGGGGAGCACCTGTGGTTGTCAAGTTCCACGTGTCAGTCAGAAAATCCTTGACTCTCTCTCTCTCTCTCTCTACCTGTCTAATACCATCGCAAAGAATTGCTAATTTCGTAATGATCCCTGGATTTTGTAACGACTCTCCAGCTGATTTCTTCTACGACGCCGTAATTTTTCTCCGTCATCGACTTTCAATTTATTGAATTTACCATTGCGAGTCCGTCGCATTCCGCAGAGGAAATAAATCGAGAAACACGCAACGAGAGACGTTAAAGTGCCATGCTCCGAATTGTAAAGCCACGCTTTCCTTTGTATTGCGTATATGTATAAAATAATTCTCTCTTTCTGGACGCGAGCCGATCGGCGATGTCGATAAAACAATAGGTGAGAAGTCGAGTCGCCTTTCGCCTCGCGACGCACGACGAAAATCAAAGTGCTTCGTCAATATTGCAGACCACATATGTGCATGTGTCGGTGGCCCGTCAATATGCTTTCTCGTAGAAAGCAAAAGCGTTTCGTGCCAAGGTGAGATCGCGATGAAATCCGCTCTCGCGATGCCCTTCGCTCGTTGTCATTGCGTATATACGATCCTAGGAGAGGCTCTTACGGCACTCCAATAAATCACTACGCCCGAGCACGCTAAATCACTAATACACGTGCATTACACGGATATATAATCTCTGTGTGCCGGCCTCGGTGTTTAAACCCAAGCCCGCAATCGCGGAATTGTCCGACATGTGCGAAATTGAGGGTTTTACTACACTGGATTGAGTCTCTAGAAATAGCGGACACGTTGGAAAAAATCTCGTTTCCCCGTTATTTTCGCGCGGTAGGTTAGGAGAATGGACGGAAGTAACCACGATATTGCAGTGAATTTTTTACGGCTACGTACACTTTATACATGTAGTTTAAATTGGGCACGGTGAAAGGCGTACACGCGGCACGATAATTGTTAACCTTGGCCTTTGATATAACGCCAATTCTAATGAAATCTCTCCGGCGGCGATTTGCTGTGTAATTTTTTTTTTTCCTATACCCTGTCCGATCGTATCGCATCCACTGCGTGCGTCAATATTTATTCCTTATCGACGTTATCGGATTTCGGGAATTTCCCGCGGGTCGTTTGTTTGTCGATATTCTCGTTTACAAAGCAATGGAAAATCTGAAATTATTTCCGAGAGAGAGAGAGAGAGAGAGAGAGAGAGAGAGAGAGAGAGAGAGAGAAAGAGATAGCTCGAATGAGTCTTATTTTATCTATCCCAAATGCATTTGTTCACTATTTCAAACGAAATTTATTCGTCCGTGGAAATCAGTTTCGCTGCTATTTTTATCATTTGTATATTTTTGAATGAATCTAAAACGGATTTTCTTTTTTTATAAACCGAGTTTTTAAAATTTTGTCAAAATAAGGCGTAAAATTAAGTATTTTGGTTTATTTATTTTACGCGATTCTCTGAAAAGATTTGCCACAAGATTTGGTTTGCTCTGTAGGAATCTCTTTATGGAAATCTCCCTTTTTTTTTACTCACAATTGCGAAGATGTTAATCTTTTTAATTTGAAAAAGACCGTCTGTGTTATAGAGATCGTTATCTCTCCCAGCTTTAAAAACAGCGATTGTAAATATTTTTCTCATTTCATGTGTTTCAGGATCCGCTTATCAGTGCAACATGTCGGTCACTTCCGTGCAACCAGCCACCACCGAGAGCCTCTCCCGCCACGGGTGAGTAAAATCATCGGCGTCGCGATCTTAATCCTTTCGCGGACATCGCGGTCGGACTGAATCGCAGATCGGGCGGAGAGCCGCGACTTGTAATTGTAAATATCCGACGCGTTCGTCTCGCACGAACGGTTTTTCCTGCTTATACAGAATGCGTCGTCGATATTAGGCGAGTTTTTCCCGCGGCGGGAAACTGGCGGCGGTATTCATATGAATTTCAGATCGTTGACGATTCTTGGCTTTTTTCTCGACTATGAAATATGACCTTCGATTCGTCCGCGAGAGAAAAATATGGGGCCACACATGCGGCGTTTGAAGCTGAATAGACGATCGGAGGCGGCGCTCATTATCTTGCAAAATTTATAATGTACATGGAAATATGTATGGAAATGTCACTTAACAAGCGGCAAATGATAAACATCCTGTCCTCAGAATTGAAAACCCAGAGGCTCGGCCGTTATGTAATTTCATATATAATTCAGGTTTTATAATTAATTTCGACGTGGTTAATTAGCGCGCTAGATACGTGCGGTATATAATCCTGAATGCGGAGGCGCGATGCAGCTGGAGAGAGAGAGAGAGAGAGAGAGGGATGTCTCGCGCAACTGTCAAATCGACGATTTTATTTCGCATTTCTCGTCGAAGCGCGCGACGCCATAAACTCGCGACTTCCTACGCAATGTACGTATTGCGTACCGCCGGAAACGCCAATCGCGTTGTAAATGATTTAACACCGCCATCAATTTCATAATTGAAATTATTGCCCTCCGATTGAAAATTTGAAAAGGAATATAAACGCGATTAATTTGGAGAATCGAATCGAACGAAAATGAACGAAGATTGGTGTTATTAACTCAGTTATATCGTGATCCTCATATTCTCTCTAATCGATATCAAAAAAATTCAAATCTTCATGCAGAATTGCAATGAATTTATACCGGCCAATTAAATTCGATAATTAAATATTGCGCAGTGTCCCAGCGTCGTTTTAATCGTAATTTGAAATTCTCTCCGGGAAAAAAAACTCTCCGGGGATAATCATTGCACTCCACTAATTATCCTACAATCATCGCTACGTCGCGATGGAAATATTGCAGCAGAAATCGCAATAATTTTCATCGTCCTCGAGTACATCGACGGTATTGCGACTTTTATTTAAAAAGTTTCACGTATACAACGTGTGCGCGAGGAAGACCCACTTATTTTGTGCCATTTAATTAAAGAGAGTTGTATAATCAGCGTGACGCAGAGGCGCAGAGGCCAATCCTAATGATTTTCGCCTGGCGGTCATTCAAAAAAAAAAAACCTCCGCCGCCGTTCCTGGCCTTTGTTCCCCCGTGCCTGCCTTCCCCACGGTCTCCGCGTGGCCGTGCCGAGCGCACACAGACACGGACGCGCCGGGGCTCATTACGCGTGCGTTCACGTCGCCGTCACGTGAAAGAAGCCGCGCGCGTTTTTTTTTCTCCTTCCTGATTACCATACGCGCACGCTTATTCGAGCTAATCGCGGGGCCCGGCCGTGCCGCCGCGCGCTCGCAGGACTCATCTCTTCGGCCGGGCAGGTTCAAGGCGGTTTCGCTCACGTATCTCATCCTCGTTCCGATAAATCGTACCTCCGGGAATCACGGAGCGTGGTCTCACGGATATTTAAATTCGCGCCGGACCGGACTCTTGCACGCGGACTCTTGCCCCCTTCCCCCCTCCACGTATACTTCACCTCGGCGAAGAGAGTACAGAGTCCCCCACGGGGGACAGATTGAGGTCGGCGTTATGTAACGGAAACGAAACGAATTTACGAAAGATCGAGTAATTAGCATTAAGAACATTCTCTAACCGAATTAAGTAGACCGATTTCTTTTAGAAGTAGAAATTAGAGTAATGTCTTAATTATGAAACAGTTACTTCACGACTTGATTTTCCTCGTGTTGCTGCATGCATATGTATCTGAGATCGACGTGACAGAGAGTTGCTAGAAAAAAAAAAAGGAAAAACCGTCGTATGTGAGATCGAGGTGACAAAGAGTAGCTAGAAAAAAAGGGGAAATCGTCATTAGAACATATTTTACAAATTTAAATAAAATAGAGATTATTCTATGAATCCAATAGGAAAAACTAAGAGAGATTTACGATAAGAATGACGCGAATGTAATAGTCTTTAACGTACAATAGTTGAAACCGTAAGTGGAAAACTTGAAGACATTGGCTCCGCGAGTTTAATGAAAATTATTAATTCGTTAGCATTAAAATTAAAATTAGGAAGTTTTCGCCTAATTTACATGAGTCGTCATTTTGTTTTACACAGGAGTAACATATCGTTATCCCGCCACAGCCTGTGCGGGAGCGTGGACGACGGTCTGCAGGGCTCGCATCCCCAGTACCAGGACACGATCCTCACGATCGAGGAGCTGCGCGCCCAGCTCAACTCCTGCTTTACGTAAGTATTTAATTTTTGCTCTTTTCTTTTTATCGTCATACGAATCGGTCGTCGCGCGCGGCCCGTGGGAGTTGATCGGCGGATTACGCAACCTGCACCGTTATCGAATGACGTGTCGCCGCGCTGTCCGGACAATGGAATCCGGTACGATCCGGAGCCAGACTCTAATTCTCGTCGCGTCGCGTTTAATTCACCTATTCGGCAGAGGAATGTGTCCCCCCTTAATGGAGATAATTATTATTACGCTCGATTAATTTGGCGCTCGGTGCGAAAAGTCTCGAGTCTCGGGATGGACTCGAAATCGATTCCCTTCGCGGCCTGGTTGAAACTTTAGTACAAGCGCGCATCGGGGTCGAGATCGTTTGGAGATAGCTATCGGTGCGCGGAATGCAAGAAACGAGGCTAGTATGCCCAGCGTTTTGTCTGCCGACGACGGTTGACGCGGTTATATTCCGGCAAATCGATGCCCTACATCGGGCATGTGCAGCCTCGATGTGCAACGCGCGGCATTTCCGTGAAATATTCACGTGGCCCGTGACTCGACTAATCAAAAACATTCGACGTCCTAGAAAGAGATTGCTCTTTCGTCCTCAATCAAGATTATTATCGAGTCTCGCGAACTCTTCATTCAGTAAAATCTTTAATACATATTGTATATCTATACCGATTGGTCTATAATTTTGCGCAATTCTGCCGTCGTAATTTCGTGTCATTTCCGGTATATACTTGTCGATTATTTTAAGCTGTACAATTTCGCGATATGTATCATGTATCCTTATCGTGATATCAAACGAGCGAATCTCGCGTAAACCGGATGGAAGCTGATCGAATTGTTAAACCGGACGACCTTGTTTCGTCTGAAAGACCGTCCCTCCTCGACGGTGTATATACAGTTTTGCGATGCAGATCACCGAGTTCTCTCGCGTCGCCGGGTCGCAAGCGTCTTCCGCGTCTTGTAACACGCCTTCTGTTATTAGCATACTCGCGTACCTTATACTACACGTAGACGACGATTCATTATCGTTATCTTGCTCTTTGCGCAGATGCGGAGTGTCGTGGAGCGAGGAGCACGTCTCCCTGGACTGCAGCGAGTGCGGCGGTTACTCCCTGCAACGGCCGTGCCCGCTCTGTGACGGTCGCTGCCGCACCGTGTGGAAGCGCGACCTCACCATGGTAAATATCATCCGTCCCGTGATCCCTTTTTCCTCCGAGAAGAACCGATGTTCTCGCGGTTTGACATTAATTTCCGTGGATTTTTCTCTCATTAAATCGCTGATTAAATCCGCCACTTAGCTTCATCATCCATTTTCATTTCAATAATCTTTTCGTCGTCCATTGGGTACATCAAATTTTTTGTTCATTAATTGCGATGAGGAAGGAATCCGGATAGTATAATATTAATTTTCGACTATTAATAATGATTTGGTATAGTAATCTTGGCACTTTCACATTATATTGACATATTAAAATCGCGTATAAGACTTCCTTAATTTTCGAAAAATTGAAAAACAAATTTGCGCAGCTTAATTTATGAGAGATACCTATTTTCATTTACAGTCCCATGCGAGTGGTAAGGCGAGATGGATCGGTGAGTGCGGGCTGAGCTGCGGACCCTCCCTGGAGGAGTCGCTGGTGCCCGCGTTGGAGAAGCTGCGGGCTACCTCGTGAACGGCGTCGGCCCGAGCACCGCCAACCATGCACAAGACTTAAATCCATCACCAACCATCTAGCGTCACCCACCACCATCGCGTGCGAGACCCAGGAGAGAAAGAGAAATGTGTGAATGTGAACCGTGGATGATATGCATTATGTTCCTGAGGAGGGCGGCTGACGAGGGGGGAAAAAGGGGACCTGTTTCGGGCCCTCGTGGCTTCTTCCCCCGTAAGACACAAAAGCCGTATTCAGCTGGTCCCTCGACATCAGGGACCACCGTCGTCATTTATCGTCTTTCCGGCGAAAGTACAAAACTTATACGCAATCGACGTCCGAATTCTACGAAGAATTTCTACGTTACACTGAACTTAACTACGTTGCAGCGAACTAGTTTGAATACTGCTCTTACCGAGAACGGATTCCAATTTTTTTTTTTTTTTTACGCCGATTCACTGTGTCGCGAAGTTCATTTCGATTCCTTCTTCAGCAATTTCTGATCAGAATTCAAATTACGATAACAATTTCTGCTAGGAAACAGATTTTGTCGTCTTCGAACGAATCTTTCTTGCCGTTGATATGAAATTGTATCATCGTTGCGAAAAAAAACTTATTTGCAAAATGGCTTCTTTGCAAAGCAAGAGAAATAGATAATTTGCCAAAGAGAAATCTTTCTGTTCGAGAATACGTATTTACAAAACAGATTTGATTGCTCTTTGAAATATTTTTGGATTTTACCTATTGTCTTAAGTTTAGAGTATAAATATGTAATGTCGAAAAAAAAAACAAGCAGCAAGAAAAGCAAGAATGAATCGAAAGGACACTCTGATAACTTTTCTTTTTTTAATTCACTCAGTTTGTACCTAAAATCTTTCTGGTTGGTGTATAAAATTCGAGATGTGCGCAAAGAAGAATAAGAGAATGTAATCTCAGAGTTTATGTGGACACGAAACGGATCATTAATTTTAGTTTTGATTGACATCGTTATGTCTTGGAAACTACTACTGTTCTCGCGCAGAATAATTTTGGTAGTTGTAATATTCCGAAATATTTTTATATCATTTGGCCGTCGTAACAATTTATTTGCCATCACTCGCATACTTGTAAGCAGAATTGAACTTCTCGATGCAATTTTCGCCACGTTTGCACCTGAATCGGTCAGTTTAGAAAACGGCGGTAAGGCCGTAATTTTTTCCAAATTAAAACAGCTAGAAGACTTCTCGCGAAAGTGTGTATTCTAAAGATTTTTATATTGTGTGTGTAAGTAATATAATAACATCATTGTCACATCGTTATAGTTACGTATCTATTTTGAGATAATTTTAATTTCTTAAATTTAAAGTGTTCAGAAAACGACCGATTCATTTGCCGAAAAATTCGATTTTTACCGCGGATTGATTATTATAAATGTTTTCCTTTTTTTTTCAAATTATTCAAAATTGCCGTAATATTTTTCCGAAGCGCGAGGCTTGCACGATGTAGCAAATATCATTGAAACTTCGGAAAACTTTTAATGACGGTAGCTTAGATCTTCGGTCGTTCCTATATAGCAATGCGAGAGAAGCCCCGATCTTCACTTTACTTTTTTACGTAACGCAAGTTACACCTCGGCCTCTCTGTCGCGCGAAGGAGCGCGAGTTTGCATTACGCGAATTCTTAGGATAATTTATTAGGCGACAATTAATCGATCGAGAGCGATCTGACGGCGAGAAGCCCGTCCGAGGCTATCGCGCGAGAGCACGACGTATCGGTTTCGTTAGGTAAATAATTCCTCGGTAATCCCTCGCTTTCAATTGTCACAACTGTATCATCGGCGAAAATAATTCCGAGCTTGCGACTTGTATACGATAAAAATTTAGTCCAAGTTTTGCCTCTCTAGCGAGGATTTAGTGTTAAACGTGACGTGATTCAATCGTCATAGCCCTAAGGATCGATAGGCAAGTCGGTGTGTTACGAATTTGAGAAAAATTATTTCCACAAATTATAGCAATTAGAAAGTTTATCGTTTCGAAGCATTAATTACACTTCGAAATTGGTACGGCGAGGAGAAAAGGCTACGTGAATACACAATTGTACTATTCGTTCGCATTTTAACTGGAAAATTTATACGAATCTCCTTGGGTCTATGAAAGTTTAAAAAGAGCCGGAGTTGTATTTATAGCGTTCCTCGACAAAGATACGTCATGCTCGCTTTAAATCGTCCGCTTTCCTGTCGAGCTTTTCTGCCAAGCGTTTGGAGAAGTACTGCTCGACCCCAAAGTGCGTGAGAACGTCTCATGCGGTTTAACAAGTGTGTGCTCGACACAAAGAAAATTGCGAGTGCCAAAAAAAGGGATCTCATTTTTTAATAAAAAAATATATATCTGAAAAATTAAAAACAAAGTTATATAATTTTTTAATTATGTAAATGCGAATGTTTATATTTTAAATATTTTAATGGCAGATTGCAGATGTATTTAAATATATTCATAACTTGTACGAAATATGTTTTTATTTTTTCTATATTATTACTGTGTGCGCTCGCAGATTTTCTTTGCGTCATGTCGTTGTGGAAAGCATTTACGTCGTGCCAATGACTTTTTCGGATTTTTATTATTGTTTTATAAGAATCCCGCGTGCCGAAGCCTTTCTTAGCGAGATGTAGGAACAAAAAAAAGGGATGTTTTCGGACGTTTACCGACTTTTCTCGGTAGCGTCGTACATATACCTATATATATTGCGAGTGCGAGTATACATGCTCATCAAAACACATCCTCATTTATTAAATTAAATTAAATTGTAACATGTAAAAATCGTCTGGAGTATTAGCTCGCGGTGAGCTTTAGTTTAATGCTTTAGAGAAAGTCCTCGGTAGTAGTTTTTATTTAATCTGCGAACTTCTTATTTATGACGTGCGAATACTGCAAAAGTATGGGTTTAATAAATACTTGCAAAAAAAAACTCCAATGTGACTTATTAATACGAGTCTCTCCCTTGCCCTTATCGTTTTATCTGATTTAAAGTAATTCCCCAAGTTAGAAATGCGACTCGATATATACAGTTTTTAATAAATTATTTGTTTAATAAATTTATTTTATATTTCTATTAGTTTCTGCATTGGAAATATAACACTGCACTTAAGTTTTTTTCTCGTGGCAGGATAAGCCTAATTAATTCAAAACAATCTCACAAATTGATTTTATGATCTTGAAATAAATCTCACAAAATTATTTTACAAGCCAGCATTATCTTAGACGATTATTATTTATGAAGAATAAATAATTTACTGCTTAGTAAATGATGTTCCGTCGAGTAAAAGGTGTATCAACGTTTTATTGATATTTTTCACAATTTATGTACATTTCCACCATGCCAAGCAACACGCTCACACGATCTCTGTTTTTACAAATCGAGACTATAGATTTTTTTTATCTCTGTGCCGTGTTCTGGTAATATTTTACTCAACTCACGTTCTACGAAGTACATAATATCAGTACGACGCTGGAAGACAACATAGAAGTAGTTTTAATCGAATAAAAATAAATTTAAACCTCACGCAATAATTTTAATATCATATATTTATCATCTAATTCCTTATTGTCCTCTTTTATATTTATCTAATGTTTATCACCAAAAGAAAAATTAAGATTTACTTCGTTCAATTTTTATCTTCATAAATTATTTTGAAAAGAAAATTGTCTTATTGACACGCATACAAAAGATAAATTATTAAATAATATATAATAATAAATAAACAGCTTTTATAGTTCTACAACATAGTTTATAAAAACAATTAACATCAATACCACTTCTATGTTGTCTTGTAAAATATTTAAGTATACAGCCGCAACGAAAAATACGAGAAAGAAGCATACTGTCAAATAATCTTTTTAAATATTATGCGCTTATAATCATATTCGCGCGTAAATAATTTCTACAGACATTTCAATTATTCAATCACTTTTCAATCAAAAACAGAGTTTATACGGAGCAATAATATGCCAATTATCATCAATATTGTCACAAATATTAATTCATTTTCACTGTCGATTGATTCTCTGCAACAGTATGCATCGAAAGGCATTTAAAAATAAATCCTTGATGCAATTCTTGTATATGTCCACAATGGCAAAAACATGTGTAAATAGCTGCAATAAAACGTCAAATCGATATCGAGAATAACAATCGTATTGAAGTACAGCGGTACAGCCTCAAAGTACCATCGCGTGTAGCAAACTTGACAGATTTCAACGTTTTATTCATAAAAAATTACGAAGATTTAATACGATTTTACAATGAATATTCAGAAAGTAGGAAATGAATTGATTATTAATTCAAGAAACGTACTCCTGCCAGCGGAGTTCTTGGTAAGCCCTCATCAAAAGTTTGCAAAAGTCTTATTGTACGTGAATTTTCGTAATCTATGCAAAATTCAATCGATGTTCTGTTATCACCGAGTACACATTATACCACTGCACGCGAGAATACGTTGTTATACTGTTGGCTTGAGCGCATTGAGAACGCGTCGTAATCGGATACGTTGTACTATATTACAGGAGAGAAAACGTATTTCCTGAAAAGACCCGTATTCTACGATACGGACCCTCCCTCCCCCCTTCTGTTACTGCGCGAATTGTTCTAGTTTTGACTATTACTTATTGAACTTGAGTACCGATTCCGCTGAGCGAGATCGTGCGTACTCCCTCACGTAGACGAGAGGACAATAATCTCAGCACCGGCATCCTACGAGGACCTGCTTAATTCTGCTTGCGCGACTTACGGCGCAAACGAGTGACAAGAATCAACTTTGGTGCACGATGAAGTTCGTGTGCGTGTGTGTATGTGTGTGTCCGTATGTACGTGTACGTGTGTATATGTATAATGTGTGAAATAAATTAATTAACAGGTTTGCTGCGCAACTGGTTCTAGCGCCAAGGACCGTCGCGTCGCGGCGACGATTTCCTTTACGCCCGATCTAAGTAATGCTCAGTGTTAGGCTGCGAATCGAGAATCGCGCTGAGACCGAAACTCGGTGACGATTGATGAGAATCCTAGGGCGATGGATATTTTTTAAATATTGTCCGTTTGTAGAGAATTAGTCTAGTAGGAACGAATCGCCGGCGGAACCGTCGCGCATTCCTTTTGATTGAGCGTAACGTCAATCACCGGTCTGTAGTCCAGAGACACCTTGAAATAAATAAAATAGGATTAGATGTTGAATAAATAGGGAAGTATAATCGACTGGAAGTATTAAAATGAAAAACAATAAAGGTCCATTAATTCATGTAATTTTTAAACAACTGATACTTCTATCTCTCCATACTATTTGCAAATATAATGAATGGCAAATACCTTTCCTGTTCTCGGATTGATCTTCGACAGCGTGTGCTTCCTCCAATGTTGATCGAACGGTTTCGATTGCTGGCTCTCGATCGATTTACTGTAATCGTATTCGTCGAGTCTCTGTTTGTAATCCTCGCGTGCGTGCGCGCCGCGGCTCTCCTTCCTGTTCTCCGCCGCGATGATAGTCTGCATCGCGTTGACCATCAGATTTTGCAGCTCGAGCGTCTCTATCAAATCGGAGTTCCATATTAAAGACTTGTCCGCGACCTTTAAATCGTCCATTTTCTTGTAGAGGTCGGTCATCTTCCGACAGCCTGTGGATAAAAAAAAGTACATAGTAACATTTCCAATGCTGTTACATAACGTTCGTAAATTCGACGCGCGGAGTGAATCGTCAATGGTCTTCTTTTTTTTTTACCTTCCTGTAAGCTTTCGGCGTCTCTGAAGACCGCCGCGTGCGTCTGCATGGTTTTCTGCATAGTCAGCCTCAATTCCGCGGTGGAGACGGAACCGTTGGCGTTTCTCACCCAGTCTAAATTAGCTACCGTCTCCTCGCCGGCGTTCTAAAAAACACGCGAGCAAGACGTAACATTTATCTTACAGTAAAAATAAAAATGTAGTTTATATATAAAATGCTCATGGAGAGCTCATGTCTCTGAAATAGCAGAGAAACGTACAGGTTTCAGAGGCCCGATCGTCTCGCCGGGCTTGTTCTCTTGGGAGATAGTTTTAGCGCAGGCACGTCCGAATACGACCAAATCCAATAGAGAATTGGCACCCAGTCGATTAGCTCCGTGAACGGACGCGCAGGCAGCTTCGCCGCACGCGTATAAGCCAGGTACTACTTTGTCTTGATTGTTCTCCTTAGTCAACACTTGACCTTTGTAATTCGTCGGTACACCTCCTGTAATTGTCAATATAGTTTACTACATAGATTAATCACTTTCGTGGAGTCGCAAAAATCGTCGCAAATAGAACAAAATAGTTTGATGACGAATCTCATTAAAGAATTACTCTGTGTCGCGTGGGGCAAATTATTTTATTACAGTATTTGCCTACTAAGAAGAACAATGATGACTCTGATGGCGTCATCGCGAAGAAGGCTTTCGACTGAAATTCATCACACTCGAATATTAATGTGGAAGAAAACTCATCGCATAATGACAATAGCTATTTTAAGTTTCATTTTCATTACGAAGATAAAATTAAATTCATTTTTTATTAGCACACATTGATTGCTGTGCATATACAGGGTCTCATTTTCATTAAAATAGAGACTTTCTGGAAATCACAAGATTTCAGGAAAAAATGTTTCAGGTGAAAGTGAAACGGTTTCAAGAGAAACGTATTTTAGTTCAAGTTTTCAACTTTTTTTTCTAAGAGAAAACGTTGAAAAGATATAAAAATCAACTTGACTTTTTAAAATGGAATTATATAATTTTTTTTAAATGTTGAAATCTTTCTATCAATGCTTTTGATCAACATTAACTTTAATGACGACCTTCAGACTAACAAAGAACATACTTAATCGCGGATTACAATCAATATTCTTTATTAAAACATATTCTACTTGCAACATTGTTGAGAAATATATTATTTGTGTGCGCGCAAATTATGTATATACAGGGTATCCCCATTTTAATTTAAACAGCCAATTTCTAGAAATCACGAGAGTTTAGAAAAAAAATGTTAATTATATTAACGTACCCATATTGTAATGGACGGTGGGTAAGACGGGGATGGGTTCCCGGGTCACGTCGACGCCAGCGAATATCATCGCCGTCTCCGAAATCCCTGGCAGCCGAGCGGCCAGCTGTTCAGGCGGCAGATGGTGTAGCTGCAAGTAAATATGATCCTTCTCCGGTCCAACGCCTCTAAGAAGAGAAAAGAGGGACTATATTTACCACGAATATTTCCGAAGGTGCGGACAAAAAGACGTCTCTTTACCGGCCCGGTGACTCACCTGCCCTCTCTAATCTCCATTGTCATGGATCTAGACACCACGTCTCGCGACGCCAGATCCTTCGCTACCGGCGCGTAACGCTCCATGAACCTCTCGCCCTCGCTGTTTATCAGATAACCACCTTCGCCGCGACTGCCTTCTGTGATCAAACATCCGGCGCCGTAGATACCTGAAATGAATACAAAGTTTTTTTTTATTAGTGCAAATCAAGGAAATAGGTAATTAATTCTCTTTATCATACATAAAATATTTTAAGATAATCACACTTGTAAATACTAAAAAGATTTATTTCATTTAGAAGCACTTAGAAACTTCAACATTTAATTTCTCACTAATTGAATATTATTCCTAGCATTTCAATTTAAGAATCATCGATAAAAATACCACAAATCCCACTATTTAAAGATATTTCAATGCTATTTACAGACATTTCAATGTTACATTACAGCAATAATCCGATTGCAAATCCTGAGATATTAAATATTCAATACGTGCCTGTAGGATGAAATTGCACGAACTCCAGGTCCTGATTAGGCAAATTCGCTCTCGAAACCATGGCGGTGCCATCTCCGGTGCAGGTGTGTGCGGACGTGCAGGAGAAGTAGGCGCGTCCGTAGCCGCCGGTAGCGAGCACTGTGTTCTTCGCGTGAAAGCGATGGAGCGTCCCGTCCTCCAGGCAGAGCGCGATCACACCGCGACACTCGCCGTCCTCCATCAGCAAATCGAGGGCGAAGTACTCGACAAAGTAGTTGCAGTCGTAGCTCAGCGACTGGCCGTAAAGTGTGTGCAGCAACGAATGGCCGGTCCTGTCGGCCACGCAGCAGCATCGGTGAGCCTGGCCGCCCTTACCGAACTTGAGAGACTGACCGCCGAAGGCGCGTTGATAGATTTTGCCTGATGGAAAAGACAAAGATGGTCCAGAATTAATTTTTATTAATATATATTGATATATGATATTTATTGAATTTTATTAACAATATGATGACACTGTAGAGATTTTTATATAAAAGGATTTGTGTTAAATAATTACAAATATGAAATTCTGACAAACGATGTCAAGATTAGACTTATTTCATAAATTAGATTTTATTATATATTAATATTAATATTATATATTAATAAGTCGTACATTAGTACATGACTTATTTCATAAATCAGATATTAATATACAAGGAAAGAAATTTAAAGATCCTCTACATATTCTAATTATAAATTTCTCTATTTCAATTATCTATTTAAATGAAATAATAAAAAAATCTAAATCGAGAATTTAATTATTAAAAAATTAAACTTTCATATTTAAATAATCGAGGGTTAAAAATATGAAATAGATTCTGTAATGATTCAAGTCTGATGATAAGCGGCAATCTTCAACTGCATGGCAACCGTGACATGACATTTGTTATTTTCACGGTGTTTCGAAAAATTCGCGTTTTATTTTCTCAGTTGCGGGGACAAATTCTTGCTACCTATAATTATCTATTTTTTATCGATATCGAGTAAGAATGCATTGGTTCCGTACGTAAATACTGGTAGGGCGAATACACCTTTTTGGGATCATTGTCAAATCATGGAAGACGACAATAGAAGAGAAGAAATTCATGAAGTAACGGGAGGCATAGAAGAGGACGGGGCCGCAGGGCAAGACAGAGGTTCTGATAATCAGTACCAAGAACTACCGAGGCCCCCCTCCAGCCGTAAACGCACGCGAGATGAGTGAGTTACGTAAACGCATGCGATCTGTAATTAAGACGTAATATATGACAGATGAGCACTTTTAATAAATTGCTTCTACACATAATATATGTATAAGTTGCATCTATTTTAACACATTAAAAAAATATATATAAAAAAATATCAATAAATTTTTTTGAAAATACGTACGTATCGTTTGCGTAATTACGTCTGATCATCATTTTCCCACTTATAATAATTGTATGACGCGTACATTTGGACAGAACAGAGTCCGGCCAACACGACAGACGGCCATCCCGCACGCGATCAAGGTCGAGATCAAGATCGCATAAGCCTTCGCGGAGGAAGCAATGGAGAAGCGCGAATGCTTTCCTGAACTTTATGCAAGACTTTAGGCAGGTAACTAATCACAAAAATAATGGGGATTATACACGCGAGCATCGTGTAAGCAGAATTCTGTCGAATTACAGGATTATAACAAGGTGAAGAGTAGAGATCTGTTTCGCCTCGGGGGACAAACGTGGCGAAAAATGTCATCCGCGGAGAAGATGCCCTATGTAGAAGCGGCCAAGTTAGCGCAGCAACAATCGCAGCAGAATAATAAAAACACACAGCAGAACAAGGCTAATAGCAGCGACTCGTCGAAGAAGCTCGACAATCAAAGGGATCAGAAAAAGAAAGAACGAGAAGTTCGTTCGTTAAATAAATTTTTACTTATTTTCCCATATTTTTTTTAAGTAAAATTAAAATCATATTTTTCTATGCATTTCTTTCAATTTCGTCATTACATTATTATATTCAGTTAATTATGTATTAATTATACATTAATTATTCACAAAAAAGTAAAGTTTAATATAAATATGTATATATATATTTTATGTTTATATATTATCAGAGAAATGTAAAATTAGAGATGGGTAACTTTGTACTAAAATTTTACGACTTTTATAATCTGTCATAATTCTTAGATAACGTATGGCTGTTTACGTTTCAGGAAAGAAAAGAAAGAAGGCGTTCCAGAAGCAGGAGGGACGATTCCGATGCGGAATCAGATTCCGCAACGTCGGGAACAGTCGCGACTATGACCAGCGAGGACGCTTCGGATCTAAGTTCTTAAGCGTCTCAATTTATTAATTAAACTGTCAAGAAATGTCAAGAAATGTGCACGAAACAATTTATTTCGATTACGTGTCCTGATACTAGTCCTTGGTTGTATCATTTTGAAATTTAAATAAAGTATAAAACCTCACTAAAAAAAAAAAAAACAAATTTATTTTAAGTTTATTTTTTTAGCCGCTCTTTTTATAATCTTGCAACTTTTTTTAATCGTTTATTTGGATCTTTATGCTCGGGTTTCAATCGATCCTTCTATGTCGTAGATTCTATCGTTTTATATGTATTATAAAAGTTTTTAAATCTTTAATCTTTTTAACTTTTAGGCTTCTTTATTCTTTTTTAATTTTTCTATTACGTGAATAAAATTTATATAAAATATTATCTATTACAATATATAAATGTAATTTATAACATACATTTTATATTGTATATAATATAAAATAGTTGATTTGTCTATCTTATCTCCCATTCTCACTCACCGTCTGTGGTACGGCTGAAGGGCATGCCACAATTCTCCAGCTCGATGACGGCCTTCGGTGCCTCGCGGGTCATGTAGTGAATGGCATCCTGGTCGCCGAGCCAGTCCGAGCCCTTGACGGTGTCGTACATGTGCCACTGCCAATTGTCCTCCTCCATGTTGCCCAGGGCGGCGTTGATGCCGCCCTGGGCGGCGACTGTGTGCGACCTCGTCGGGAACAGCTTGGTGACCACCGCGGTCTTGAAGCCCTCGGCCACGAGGCCGTAGGCCGCGCGTAGACCGGCGCCGCCGGCTCCCACCACCACCGCGTCATACGTGTGGTCCACCAACGGGTACTGCTTCGAGATCTCGTCCGAGATCTTGGCCGCTCGATCCGGCGTGTGGTGAAGTTTGCGGTTGCCGAGGAGGAGCGGCAGTCCCAGTTTGTTCTGCAAAACGGAAGCGAAATAGAGATATCAAGATTATCAAGAACAATGGAAATCGTAACGCAAAACTCCGAGATTTTACGGGGCAACGAGTGCGCGTTTAATTAACTATTTCGCTGGATTAATTAACTAAACGTAACAGTTGGCTGTATAACTTTCACATATCTCGTAAAATTTTGTGATAAAAAATTCAAAGATAAAAAATATATTCGGATACAAAATTCGAATTCTATTGGAAGAATTTAAAGTAGTGATATATCAATAAAAGAGAAAATGATATACTGATTTATTTAGTTCACAGCTTTAATTCACGATGATATACTGATCTATTTAGTTCACAGCTTCCTGCTTTTATAGATTTTTAACACATAACCGCTGAGGAAGCTTCAATTACTTCCTTTCGGATTTGAGAGCAAATTGTTAGGTAAGACGTCACGTGGACACGTTGTTATTTATAATGAGTCACGAATATGCTTCTGCGATTACGTGTACGTACGTACGCGCACGTGTATCGTATATACGCGTTCGGTTCGACATGTTCTATTTGCGAGACAACATATGGAGGCAAGCATAAGTCGGTTATAGATAAAACGTATGTGTAATCACACTTGTTTTATAAATTATATAATGTACATAATTAAATATGTGATAATACAAAACAATTTTGTATTATTTATGCCATTTACAGATACAATTTTACGCGTTCCACGTTTAATCGAGCAAATGTAGCAAAATGCTTATAACGAAAATCTGCAAATTCTTTTTAGAATAAAAAAAATGAAAACATTATAATGCAGTCAATGCAAAAAGACATTAGATAAGCGGCAATTAAGTGCTTATGATACTGAAGTTGATTCGCTACACTTCACGGAAAGCTGACTCGTATAATGTGCACATTTTTATTCCTTCTTCGTAAAAACGAAGAAGTAATTTAACGAACATGTCCTTATATATAAACAACTTGAACGATATATCTGCGGATTAATTAGCGGGTTAATTAGTCCCGTTGAGGGCTAGACTAGATTACGCAACGATTCTCTTCGTTGCAACGTGTATCGCGTCGCAAAATAATTAAAGGTGATAAGCGCATCAACGCTAGGGGTATTTGCAAAAAGACAATAATTTTTCGGCTTATCATTGACTTGCAACTTGCTTATACTCAAAGATAAGAAGACACACACATTTCCAATTGAACTTAAGATCGCGCAGCGATATCATTGTTTCGATGCTCTCTCTCGAAAAAAATTAATAATTCAACGTCGTTTTCCTACGTTGAACTTTCTCTTGGAAATGTAAAAAAAAAATTCGATTCGGCTGATTTATTTTAACGCAATCTCAACTTTATTCCGAGTTTGAAAAAAAGAAGTAGTTTCGGCATTCAAACATTTGTCTAAAAATTCAGTGGCAAGTCCATATTGACGCGCTCATCTATTAAAGTCTATGAGATAGCGCGGAGGCACGTTGGTTAAAGAGTGACATTATTTCCAAATATAAACTTTACTATCTTTTTAAATAAAACACGCTTTCGTACGCACGTAATTCGCCGTCGGAATAAAAGCCTTGATAAGAGAGCCGCTATACTCCGTAACGATTGCAAATATTTCGTGATAAATTTTGCACGCATATTCCCGGCGTGTGAAGTCTTTCGCGAAAGCGTATACCGTCGCGGTGCTTTCTAAAAATCTGGAAACGAAGACGTGAAAGTAAAGCTCGTTATCAATTGAGGCGAAATTTCGCCAGGTGCGCCTCGCGCTTATCTCGCCGGCTCTGCTACTATCAGTATTATCATATCGCGTAACTGCGTCTGTATTTGTGAAAAAAAAAAAAAAATTATCAAATCTAATCTCGAACGACAAATTAACGAAAACAATTAATCGGGGCGAATCTAATGTTTACCGTTGAAGAAAAAAAAACGGGAAAGAAATCTTGCTTCGAAATGATCCTTCGAGAGAATCTCATTGATGTCGCCGGCAGTTAAGTACATATAGTGCCTAGAGCGGGTATATCGATACCTCGCTCACCGCTCAAGCTAGGTCGACATCAACGGCCGGCCGAAACGCCGTAAAAGTGGATCTCGACTCGGGATATGCTATCGAGCCATCGAGCAGGCACCGTTAGAAGACGCGAGCAGCGCCTAGCGCAGCAGCCCCCGTCGTCGGCGGCCTGACGACGCGGCCGAGCATATGGAAATAGACCGTGGAATGGAGCCGTGGTTCTACCCCGCGGCGGGGGCTCGCCGAGAGAGATCCGCCACGGGAAGGGCCGAGGGAAGAACTTTCCCCTTCGGCGGTGGGAAGCCGAGGGGGAATGCCACGATTATATGCCGTTTACCGCGGGCGCCGAGTTACGCACGGCCGCGGGCGAGGAGACGCGTGTTTCCGGTCGCGCGCGTATTTATTCGTCGCGGTGCTGGTACACTTCGGTCGCGCGCACCTTACGTAATTCATCCAACGCGCCGCGTTGTCGTCGTGCACCTCACCACCCGGCGGGGACGGTGGATAAAAAATTACATAACGAGCCGGAAGATTCGTGCGAGACAGACCCTGACCTGCCGTCACGGATCGAGTGATCGGCGCCGAATAACGGGTCGGCAGAGATCTTTTTTTTTTTTTTTTGGTTCCTTTAAGATGGCGCGAGGCCGCGCTGGTAACGCGAGGTTTTCTAGGCCAGGTGCACGCTCGAGAGGAGACCGATCTAGTCCCGTCTACGGGCTTCCGAGTTCCGGCCTCGCCGGGGTGATTGAGGGCGACCCTCGGCGAGACCCTCGCGATGATCGTCCCTCCCCGTTTTATTCTCTCTGCGAGGAGACCGGTCCCGCGGGCGGCCGCGGGGTGAGAATCCGCCGTTGAACGGGGGACGAAGCCTCGCCGCCGTTCGAATTCGCGAGCTCCGGGTGGTTTTCTCACCAGCGTCGCCGCTCCAGGCAGGCCCCTCGGTAGCAACGACGCCGACAGCTTCAGTAACCCGCTCATCCTACGTCGCTCCGCTCGCTGTGTGCTCCGGCTCCCCAAGAGAGATACGCCCCCGGCGATACCAGGACCCGAGCGCACGCACACGCGACTAACCCTCACGGCACTTTATCGGCTCGGCTCTCGATCCGCTCGACTCGACGGCTCGGCACCGACTGCGACGCCGAGCGTCGCCGGAACGCTGCGCGCGCACAGTGCTGCCAACGACGCGCCCGCGACGTCGTCCTGTGCACGGCGTCCAAATGTGCGCGTTCCGTACCTGCGCTATGAACAAAGGTATGTATGTGTAATACCTACCACTGACATAACTGTACGAAGATATAGCTGAAGGTATACCGTACACCACTTAATTTGAGAATTTAAGATCCTAATTAGGAGACCGAATGAATCTCACGTTCTCGAGCGCCTTCTCGTTGATTCAACATTATGCCAAACAAAAATGTCACACGTGTGCACATGTGTATGTATACATGTGCGCACATGCGTGCACATAACCTCACTTTCTATGTATGAGTGGACGTAAAGTACAATGGGAGAACTTTAATTTCAAAGGTTTCTGTTCGTGAGGATTAGAAAGCGCTTTGCATATATTTTTTTATTACATTATTTTATTATTTGATAGAAAGAAGCAAGAGAAGTGTAGATATAGAAATATACATATATATTGTATTATATATATACATATATATATATATAATTCAATAAGTACACATTAATTTTTTCTTTTAGTTGCACATATATATTTTTATTTGCAAATAAAGAGATAGATAAGAAAATTAATTTAGGAAACGTTAATAAAATTTGTTTCTTTAAATTAATTTGAATGAAACGGAGGATTTGAGGGAAACTTACATAAATTAACGTATATCAATGTCGTTTCGGGCCACTCGGTATAATTCGAGAGAATATTGTTATCGCGTAGCTCCACATATAAGCGATAAGCGTAGCGCGAACTTTTAGTGTGAACGTAAAGGTGTGCACCGCGTTGCCATGGTTTTGCGACTCTAAAAAAATGCATTCACCATATTGTTATTGAACTGCATTCTTATCGCGCCGCGAGCTGCTTAACTTTTATTTATGTCGCATATACATGCGCGCTACACAGTTACTTCAAAATGAACTATTTACGCATTTCATGTATGCAATTTTCAAATAAGCTCGCAAATACAATTCATTATTTTACAAATTAGATGTAGATTTCTTGGATTTATGGACATATCTAATATGCATATTTAATGAAATAAATAAAAGCGATTAGCAAGAATTATGTCCTCCGTAAAAATTTTATTGAGTATTTATCAGCGCGATGTCGTAATTATAAGTTATCAGCGAAGGTATAATTAACGATTTATCTCTTACGAAACTAAGTTACGGATGTAATGACATTGCTGAAACACTGAACCATGATCGATGTCCCCTTCGCATATAAAAACAAAAGAAAATGAGTCGATTACGAAGTTTCATCACTATATTCTTACATAATTTCTCTATCACATCGCCTCCGGCGAACGAATCGTTTGAAGAAATATTTTCTAAAATTGCCTTATAGGAAACGCAACGCCACTTATTTAATGTCTCTCTGTTGCAAATTAATTGACGTGGGCATGATAATATTTCTGTTAATAAGCTACGATTGACGTGTGCGAGACATATACAAAGTATCCGAAAAGGAGTAATATTTAAAAGCAATATTTTTCAAGGATGAAACAATTTTTGACGATTTTCTCTGATTTCTGATGGTATCTAACTTGCGGATTTTGTTCAAAAACATGGAATTACACGATAACGCGACAGTCCGACTTAGATTCACAATCGCGTCGCTTCCGTTACGTTTCAATTATCCGACCGCCGGCGATTACTCATTTCTTGGGTCAATACGCGCGAATCGCAGGGGGCACATGCTGGGCCTCGGTTTCGTCTAGAGTCGTATCGATAACAGGCCGATAAGAGATGAAAATCTGTAAACAGAGCGCGCCGTTAAAAATCGCAATAGTCGGTCTTTCGCGATAGTCGGAAATATACTTAGTAACAAGACAGTCACAAGTGTCTCAGTTAATATAAAGAAAATTCATATATCTATAATAAAATGAATCGAATGTATTTTTTTTTTTTACAAATTGAAAGATTAGTGGATTTTTTTATGGATAAATATTGCTCGTGTAATTTTTATTAGTAATTATATTCCATCTCTTTTAATGAAGCAAAAAACTCTTTGTATTTTAATTTGTAATCTTTGAGAGGTTTAATTTTGTGTGTTTTATCAAAGGCACGCTATCGACTTTCGCGAAAGAGAATTTGACTGGATTTATTTTTTTTTTAGCATTTTAACTAACCGTTCCGTCATCCTGAGCCCACGTAAGCGTATGTTTACGCCAGTGTTCCGTGTAAGGTCGTTTCTTCTGTCCCTCGAGCGGTTTCGTATAATCATACTCGTCAACTCTGTCCTAGAAGTGAAATGAGCATTTACGTGAGTCTCTTTCGACTTCAATTTATGAAGCTCGTAATTAAGAGATCACGTAATTAAGATTAAAAATTCGAAAAATTGCAGCCAGCAGCATTACTTATTCGCTTTAATTATTCGTACAAATTTGAAACATTCTAATTTTTGTTTTGTTAATACAATTTGCCTATTTGAACCTTAAAATCTTCCCTGGCGTGCGAGCCTCTCGACTCCTTTCGATTTTCGGCCCCGTACACGGTGTGCATGCAGACGAGCATCATATTTTGTAGCTCCAAGGCCTCGACGAGCTCGGTGTTCCAAATGAGGGATTGATCTTGCACCTAAAAAAAACATTCGAAACCGATCCCACATGTGCGTCTGGATTTAGACAAGTGTCGCGCATATCTCATCCTATACCTATTATGCAACGATTGTTACGTCATCGACCGCGGTGTAATTATTTTGCATTATTTTCTAACCGGGCTATTGCTAATTAATTCCGTACTGCAAATCGAAATTTCGCTGCAAAAAATTGTTAGATGGGATTATGGGCAATTACGGAATGCCCATAAATTCGCAAATCTGGGATTTGTATGAATTTAAAATAGAAGTAGAATGTATTTTCATATATAATAGATAGTCTCTATATAATATAATATTCTATTTTTCAAAAAAATATAGTTTTAATATAATTCTAATATAACCTTCTTCTCCATAATAATTCTAATATAGGTTCTGTACGCGTTTCAACGTATCTCCTTAAAACTTATCCATTGTCGAAAAAATTTTCTTTATAAATACTTCGATCGTTTATGTTTTAAATTTCTAAATTTTTACTTTCCTGAATAATTTAATAATTAATATAGTTTTAATATTATTCAGGCATTAATCATCTTACGCATAAATCTGGCAGGTCGCAAGTGTAGAGACGGGACATCTCCCTGCAGGCGCGCTGCAAAATGTCACAAGTCCTGAATACCCCGCAGTATTTCTGCATCGTACGTTGCATCTCTCCGCGCAGTTCGGCGACGGGAACGCAGCCTTTCGCATAACGGGTCGCGTCGAACCGACAAATCGACTGCTCGCCGATGTCCTGCATCCAAATCGCTTTTTGGCTACATGCATTTACATACTAATTCCTGGCTCGTAAAACGCGAGACCTTCCTCGACTTGGACGCGCGAATTCCCGCTTCCACGGCTTTAGTATACAACTTTAAGAAAATCTTCAAGAAATTCATTCGAAAGAAACAGAAATATATGTAAAAAATAAATAAAAAAATAGGATAATATGAAGAAAGGGTAAATTTAAAAAATATGTATTAGAATATGTGTGAAGTACCTAATTGTCAAAATATGATTGTTTCTCTAAAGAGATTCTTTGCCGAACAATTTTGAGATATATCATCGCAAGATGATTTGAAATTTAATTAAGGACGCACGGTAATGTGCGACGAATTGAGGCTGCGTCTCGTTAAATTCGCGACGACAAAAAGTTGTCTTCCAGAATGAGCGTTTTTGAGACCCCGCGTAATTTTTTTCCTTACTGACGACAGATCCTCGTGACGCTCGCCGGGTCTGGCGATACAGTCGATCTGGTCGGCGATGACTTTGCCGAAGACCACGATTTCCAGGAGACTGTTAGCGCCCAGGCGATTAGCACCGTGAACGGACGCACAAGCGGTCTCGCCGGCTGCCCAGAGGCCTTCGATCGGTCTGTCCTCCTCGTTTTCTCGCGTTAATACCTGACAAGGGATTATTTATGTCGAAAATGCAATTACGGCGTCAAATAACCGCACCGCAAACACCGGCAATCATAAATCTCTGTGTAACCATAAACGTATTTACTCGATCTGTATATAAAATAATCGAACCATGCGTTTTATCAATAAAACGATTAAATATAAGCAATAATAATACGATTGATGTTGATTAAATGTAACGTAATACGTTTACATTTTGTCTGATCAATAATGTACAATAATATATCTAAAATAATAATATATATAAAATATAATATAAAATTTTACAATTTTTATAAAATGTGTGTTATTTAAAATATATGTAAATATAAAATAGTAACCCAAACGATTGACGCATGGATTCTATGTCGGTTAATTAAAGATTATAATAATAATGCTAAATGATTATGTTATGTAATTATATTATGTTTCTTACTTGGGCACGCCAATTCGTAGGTACGCCGCCCATGTTATAATGCACCGTGGGAATCACGGGGATCGGATCCTTCGTCACGTCCACGCCGGTGAACACCCAGACGAGGTGCGAGATTCCAGGCAGCCTCTCGTGTATCACCTCGGCCGGCAGATGACTCAATTGCAAATAAATGTGATCCTTCTTTTCACCCACGCCCCTGCGAAAAAGAGCGCCAAGTTATGTAGTTTTTTTGAAAAAAAAAAACGCTGCCACGTGCGTTGCATATTCTTACGTTACGATGCGTAACTAATTCAACGTAACTAACGGTACATTTCAACGTCCAGGAAGTTGGGAGAATGGTCTAATGAGAAATTAATAGCCATTTATTCTGTCATCTATTTCTTACTTATTTGATTAAAAATATAGATCTATATTTATACTGTAGTATTTATTTAGTTATATTCTAATGAGAAATTAATAGCCATTTATTCTGTCATCTATTTTTTACTTATTTGCTTAAAAATATAGATCTATCTATACTGTAGAATTTATTTAGTTATATTTCTAAATACAAAATTTGCATGTAAGCAAATTTGCTTACAACTACCAAAATTGGAAATTTTCTTTTAACAATCCTGCCTTTGTACAGGATATTCTAGGTATCTCTACAGAGATTTTTCCCACATTTTTCCTCATATTTATAAATTAAATAATTCGAACTCTCGGTCTTTTTGCGGAAGAAAAAAAAATCAAACGCGAATTAGGATACAAAGGATCGCGCTAACCTTCCTTCCAGAATTTCGATAGTCATAGCTCTCGACACGACGTCGCGGGAGGCCAGATCCTTAGCTACAGGCGCGTACTTCTCCATGAAGAACTCGCCCAAGGAGTTGACGAGTCTGCCGCCTTCTCCTCGGCTGCCTTCGGTTACGAGTATGCCACTTCCGTAAATGCCTACAGCGCGAGAAAAATCGGTCGGTCAGTTAAAAAAGATTGAGGGAGAATGAAGTCATCAATGGGATGCGTAGCCGATCTGAAAATACCGGTCGGATGAAATTGAACGAACTCCATATCCTGTAATGGCAATCCCGCTCGACACGCAATCGCCATGCCGTCGCCGGTGCATTGGAGCGCCGCGGTGCAGGAGAGGTAACATCTTCCGGCACCACCTGTTGCAATCACCTGTGACATGATAACTGTCTTTATTAACATTGATTATTTTGAACATTATTAATTTATTTGCTTTAATGTATTGCCAATAGTGAATGGTAATTTAGCTGTTTTGACAAAAGAAGAAAATGTTAATTATATGTACTAATAGATAATTATATATATATATATATATATATATATATATATATAAGTAAACAAACTAGAGAGAAAGACTAAAATTTTTTCAGTTTCTCTCACTGTATGGTGAGCTCTGAATCGGTGCAGAAGTCCGGTCTCCAATTCCCAAGCCAGAATCCCTTTGCAGCATCGTCCGTGCATCAACAGATCGAGAGCGAAATACTCGATGAAATAGTGCACGTCGTAACGAAGACTCTGGCCATAAAGAGTGTGAAGCACCGCGTGGCCAGTACGATCAGCAACGGCACAGGTTCGCTTAGCTTGTCCGCCTTTGCCAAATTGTAACGACTGGCCACCAAAAGCACGCTGATAGATCTTACCGTCTTCTGTACGACTAAATGGACAACCTACGATTTTTTAAGTATTTATGTTAAATATTTTTATTTAGTATAGATTATATGTTATTAACGTTATTAATTCTATAAATTATGTATATATATGTATATTTATAATAAAATAGTATTACTATTAACATATATATACAACTTATAAATATTATAAATAAGTATATATATATATATATATATATATATCGCTAATATGTATATAATTTCCCCAGATAATTATATATTCGTGATTTATTAGATTTACCGTAGTTTTCGAGTTCGCAGACCGCTCGAGGCGCTTCCCTCGTGAGTAAATGTATCGCATCCTGATCGCCCAGCCAGTCAGATCCCTTCACAGTGTCATACATGTGATACAGCCAATTGTCTTTCTTCTCGTGGTCGAAAGCAGCGTTTATGCCACCCTGAGCAGCCACGGTATGCGACCTGACCGGGAAGACTTTCGATACTACCGCTACACGATATCCCTTTTTACCAAGGCCAAAGGCCGCCCTTAATCCTGCGCCTCCCGCTCCTACTATTACCACGTCATAGCAGTGGTCTATCACAGGATAGTTCTGTAAATCAATATCGTGTGAATAATTGAGCGATTGAAGTAAATATGCTAATTGAAATATTTAAAACAGTCTGTTAGCAACGCAAAAAAATTGAATTTATTTAGAGGGCATTTCAGTCACAATTGATAAAAAAGAAATATGAAGTTAATATATTTGTTTTCAAAAATAAATTTGTATATTTTAAGTGGGTGTAAATAAGAAAAGGTAAAATTATTCATAAATTTTATTATAAATAATTTGTACTGTCATGTCAGGAGGCTACGAACACAAAGAAGAAAAGAGAGTTTATCTTTTCTTTTTTTATTTACGTAGAATATCTAATTATTTATAAAGATTTTAATTAAACAATTTAAATAAAATATACTTACACTACCGCCACCGTCCACGCCACACTTTGCCTTTTCCGCTGGGCTAACATTTACGTGAAAGCTTCGCGAATTTCTGATTGTTGCGCAAGATTGTTTCATAAATTTCTAGGGGAAGAAATTACTGTTTATTTCAAATTAAAAGTAAGTTGCATTTAGTGTTGGTATAAAATCTTACAAATTCCGCTCCACGCCTTTGTATTAATCGACTGACCGATCGATGTAGCATCTTGGCAAATATTTGTTTAGGTTCGAATGCTCTTTAACAACTGTCACGACCGACAGTGAAGGCAGTGAAGCTCTTTCAGATTCTGCATAATTCATTTGTCAAATAGTAAAACAAATGCGAAAAATTTAAATCTCTTTACCGCATTTATAAACTCATCACATACGCGTGTGATTAGTTTGATAAACAATTTTTCATAATTTAAAGAATTAATAATTTTTTTTATTAATTAAAGAATTAAGATAAAGAAGGTTGCATTGGGGGATTATAATTCAATTAAGGTTTCCTTTTCCAGGAAACTCGAGAACCGAACTTAAAATGTTAAATTGTATAAGCGTCGCAATTTATTGCACTTGCAAAAATACAGTTTAGGACGTACATACATAAATTATGGCTATTGCATACAATTAGTTCGAAATGCATTCTTCCGAGTTAGACGTCGAGTCAGTTTTATCAAACGCTTATCGCAATGTTACTCTTTGGTATACGTTACGAACACCAGAGAGTCAACGTACTTGACGAATCACTCTTGTTAGAATCGTTACAAGTAATCTTTGATTAATACGGCTTGTAAAATGTTATTTAATCAACTTTCTCACATCTCATTCAAAACTTTGAAAAAATAGTTTTCCTCTTTCTTTTCAGAATTAAAAAAATAGGATGTTTGAAATTGATACAAAAATGGTATAGATCGAGCAACATCCTTGAATTTAAAATCCATGTCTTTGTTCATGGAAATTCGAGGAAGTTTCCATTTTTCTTTTATTTATCTCAAATCGCGAGATTCCGAATTCTGTATATTCTCCGGAACGTTCCGTATATTATTTCGGCTTTTCAGCATGTGAATGTAATAAATAATCGTTTCTTATCGCATTTAAGAATAAATATGAAAGGCCACTTCGTAAGATTCAATTGTGCGTTCCTATATAGTTGCACATATTTAATTTATTTATATAATTAATCTCCTTTCTCGCAATATAATCGTGATTAAGACGTCTGTCTTTGTTAAGATTGACAGTTCATCTTCTACGCACATTGTCGACGGCATTTCGCATTTCCTCGTTAACGACACATTAATTGAGCGAGCGTTGATGCTCGTATCGGCATGACTCATCTAATCACTAGCGATTTTCTAATCTTATTTTACGATCAATCTTGTTACACGACATTAAACATGAGAATCCTGTGAAGACTAGGCGAATTAAGCGAGTTGATAGAAATTCGCAGAATTAAATGTTTAAAATTTTCGGGAGATGTTACTAATTAATATCTAAGTCATTTAACGAAATATACAATTAAATTCGAATATAAAGCACAAAGAAATTCACCTCAATATATTTTAATTTCAAATAATAATCCGTGTTCCTTAATTAGTAATTCGTCTCTCACTTCTATAAAAGGGATTAAACTAAATATATAACAATTTTAAAGATCGTTACCTTTTACGCTTTTTACGAGATGTATATATTAATATCAATTCTTTTTAATTCTCCTATTTTTAACAGGAAGTATATTTGCATGATTCTCTTCACTTGTATAAAAAGCTTATCAAAAAGTCGCACTTGTGAATTTGTAGAAAAGGGGACGGACTCCGCGATCTCTCGGCGACTCTCGGTGTACGCGTACATACATCATGTGTGTTTGTGACGAAAAAATGCTTATCAAATATATTACTACTAGACTACTCAAACATAGCGAGCAAATCGACGCGTTGTCTACAAAGCGGACTAAAGTAGATTAAAAAAAATTCTCTTCTCCAATGGTATAAAAACGCTACCTCGTAAAAGTTACTCTCGAAACTCTGAGATTTATAAAAGCCGCTCGAATTGTACAGCGCTCTATATATTATCGTGATAAGGCAGTTAATCACCTAACAATCTGACAATATTTTCAAAACAAGCTCTTTCTCTCGATCTCATAAAATACTTTCGAAATTACAAATTAGAGCGTATTCTTCTCTTCGGAAAACATTGGTATTCTCGAAATTCGATCTCGAGAAAACCTTTCTCGAAATAAAAAAAAAATGAATGTGTTCTCTTTCATCCAGAGAATATCTTCTCGTTAATATTTTCTTCGTCGTTTTTTCGGATATCAAAGTACAATACGACGCTCGGAAAACGATGTTGTGTCTCATAACGTGAGCCTTCTGACGCCGCACTCGCAGCAGAATTTGGCGGTTTCTGGAAATCGCTGACCGCACTCGTGACAGAATTTGGACATCTTGCACTTGATGGCCGTTTGAGTCGGCGACGTCCTCTCATTCCTGGGCGGGTCCTCATCGAGGCGATCGATCACGTCGTTGGCGCTGCGTCCATGGTGCGAATATTTGCGATTTAAACTGGGGGTACAAATTAAATTGGGCTTGAAGCACGCGAGAAGCACGGAGAACGCAAATTTGAGAATGGACGATGATTAGAGATTAAAATTGTTGGTCGTTAAAAAGCAAGTGACGGAAGTTTTAGAAATTTTCATATCTCATTAAATGAAATTTTTTCTTTATCATATTAAACTATAAATTTGGATAAAAATCACGAAGTAATAAATTTAGTTTTTGTAAAGTTTTTCTCTTGTAATTGTTCTACTCTAAGATTTATTTTTTATTTAATTATTAATTGATCGATGAAAGTGAACGATGAAGATAAATAGCCACTTTAAAAACCAACCTGCTATAGGCGGAGTCGTTGCTGAGCTTGCTGTGATCCTGCGGCTTGTAGCTGTCGGGAGAGGATAATTCTTCGTCGCTGATCAGACTGCCGTTTCGCCGTCCGTCGCCGCCGGGGCTGGACAGGTCGAAGGACTCGTTATTGAGGAAGGATCTCAGTCCGGGGAACGCGTCCTCCTCGAAGGACGTCATCAGCTCGTCGAACATCGAGTTCGATCGCTTGACGTCCGGCTCCGAGGAGGACATGATCGAACTAAGACTGAGGTTGCTGCCGGACAGGGATGAATAATTATTGTTTCTCTGATTGAGATTCTGATCCGACGACCTCTGACCCTCGACGAGCCTGGAACCTTGAACCTTCCTCATGTCGCCCCAGGTCTTCCTGTCGGTGGCCGAATTGATCCTGGGCGCGGACGAGGCTCGCATCGAGCCAGATCGGTTTGTTAACGGTCTCGTATTTTTCACCGTATCTTTGTCGAAGATCTTGTACGGTCTGTCGGCGCTAACAACCCCGCCGCGACGCTCGTCGACGCCCAGTGCCTTCGATTTGTCGATAATGACTCGTCTGCCCAATTCCCTGACGGGTTTTGAGCTCGCGGAGTCTGTCGTGTTTTTGCCCGCGAGATCGGGCTTAAGGAAGACCTCGCGCGAGATCGAGTTGGTCTCGGTGGAGTCGCTCGAGAAGTTGGACAAGAGATCGTCGAACTCAGTGGGCGGCGCTATGAGGGACGACCTCCTGTCGGAGGGAGGATATTTTACAAAGGCGGAGGAGTGCGAGAGAGGATAAAGGGTATCACGAGTTTGTTGGACTTTGGGATTCCCCGTCATAGACTGATCGCTCGTGTCCGACAGTAGGTCGTTCATCTGCTGCTCGGCCAGCAGGAAGGGATCGTAATCCTTGTGTGTGCCGCTGAAATTAGAATTTGATTAGTACAGCCTTTAATTCTACTTTCGTGCCAGGAACTTTCTTGCACAAAACAGCAAACGCATACGAACACAGTGCAATATGCGTGACGACAAAGTATGGTTTTGCCTTTAATATTCTACTGCAGATGAGCTGTAGACGTGTGCCAATCGATTTTTCGAGACAAACATTTACAAACCGCGCATGCAAGCACGGACGCGCGTGGTGCAACATTATCCAATCTGCTTGTTGGATATAAATTATTTTTTGAGAAATTTAGAATCAATTTTCCTCGAGTTAGTTTGCCGCGAGTCGCAGAAAATAAAAACTAATCTCGCAAAAAATAAATGGAACATTATGGTTAAAAAAAAATGTTATTACAGATATAACAGAATTTTAATCAAGGGTTATTCAAGGATTAATTATTGGAATTTCAAAAATTACGAAAAATAATAATTCGACAGATACATATATTTTTTTAATAAAGAAAAATTGATTCTGAATTCTGCAAAAAATTTTTAATATCTTCTATATTGTGACCTGAACTAGACTAGAATATAGATCATCAGCAATTAACACCAATAAGATAAAATAAAATAACTATGTCCTTCTCCCCTCCTCCCCCCACACTGGTTCCAACGTCCTGGAACTTACGTTCTAGCCTTAAGCACGAGATTAAAGTCCGGCCTTCTGCGTACATAATTGCACCATGCGGGACGTGTCTCCAATTCAATTTTCCTACAATATTGTTGACACATTAACTACCTAACAGCTGTCTTACTAAAATATACGAAAATACGATAAAAGAAATAGAAATAGAAAAAAAAACGATTCTACCATTTACAGTGCGATCAGCAATGCCGATTCTTTTACCAATTAAATTGCAATTTGCACAAACTTTTACACTATTTAAATATCAAATAATGTTACAATATGTGACTCATAATCAATTGTTTTGCGAAATCAGCATTGAAATATTTTACGCTAATCAAACAGTCAATTCCTACCGAAGTTGTGTGCTTTACTAAATATGAATCTATGTTAAATAAATACTCTAAAAGTCTACAGTACAAATAATATTAACACAATCTAGAGAATAATATTAAGAATATTCAACAACGACGATTCTACTTATAACGCTATAGTTTCCACTGTTTTCTTATCTATACCTTTGATTGATTAAAGGTGGATTCGGGACGGGAGGGAGGATACGGACCCTAGGATTTCTCTTAGCAAGCCTATATTCCGCGTGATACGCAGGACAGAGATCGGTCAGTCTGCTCCGCGACATCTTGGAGGTCCTCTCCCAGTACGATCTCTCGGAATCTTCCCTCGTCTCCGCCGCGTCGCTCTTTATGTCAGGTAAATCCCTGAACACTTTGCTCCGTCTGAGACTGTTCGGTCTGATTATCTCTATGGTCTCTCGTTCGTAAGCGCAATTCGCCTCGGGCCGTCTGACGCTCGCGAGCTCCACGAATTCGATCGAGGATATCAGGGAATCGGTGCTGCCGCGAAGAAGATTCATACTTTCCCTGATTCTTTGCTTCATCTCGACGGAATCGACCGGCCGCTCGCGCGCGGCTCTCCTAGTCGCGCCGCAAGCGCGTCTTGGAAAATTCACGCTCGCGTTCGGGAAGATTTCGTTACCGCATCGCCGTGGCACCTTCGCGTAGTCGTTCGTCGACGTGACTGATGACCCTAAACCATTAGCGTCTAGCCCGTTACGTTCCCCGACACGCGCGGTATTATTATCGCTACCGTAATCGAATTCACTGTCTACATTCTTCTTGCGCAAACCTTCACCTGTCGTAACTTCCGTTTTAATGATTGAACGGCCGAGGAGCCGTGATTTATCGTTCGAACAGCTGTTGTCTGAGTCCACGTTGAAGTCTGTTTTTCCATCTTTCGTGTTGTTCACGATATTTTCAAAGTTATCAGAACTGAAGTCTTTTTCTTGCCTGCTATTTTTCACATGCAAAGATGTGTTATTTGTAGGTGCGGTTAAGTAATTACCAACAGCAATTTCCGAATTTTGTGGAAGCGAATATACTTCGACGTTTAATCTCGTCAAATTTCTCTTAGGCTTTTTATTACGGATTAAACCATTCTCGTATCTTCCATCATCTATTTCAATTTTTTCAGCATCTTTCGCACGATTTTTTTCTGGGCTAGCAATCCGACAGGATGCAGGAAATGATATTTCTTTAATGTTTTCTATTAGATCTAATGAACAGCTATTGCTTTGACACGCAAGCATTTCGTTCTCAGGACTCGAATTACAATCAGCTTGATTATTGCTATTGTTTAAAGGTATTATCTTATTTATGTTAGGTTGATCGCATATAAAAGTTCCTGTATTTCCTTTCAATTCAAGTGAATTATTGCAACATATATTACTTTCGCATTGTGACATTTCGTCCTTACAATTCGTAATATCTATAATATCTTGACTCTGATCAATAAAATTCTTTTTTTTCGATAAATTTGATGCAGTTGGAGGCACTTCGTCAAATAAAGAAGATTTAATTAATTTAGATTCGGATAAATTTTGCTCAGTTTCTTCGATATATTTCGTACTTTCAATAATTCTCTTATCCATTGGCACTTGTTGATCTTTCTCATCTTCTTTATAAACATTTAATTTATTTAAATCTGCATCACCTACACCATTTATTTTTACAGTTTGTTTTGTATCTTCAATATTTGTTTTTATTTTTTCAATGTTACATTCTACTTTAGTCTCTTCATAGCTCGCTCCTCGATTATTTTCCTTTTCACTACTTATATTAAGTTCTTCTGTTTCGTACGATATCGCTTCAATCTCTTCACTACTGATTTTCTGAATATCTTCTACATTTTTATCATTTTTCAATTCTTTTATTTTACAGCCTACCATAGTCTCATCGTCTTCTTCATCTTTAACGCACATTTTTAACTCTTTCACTTGTGCACTTCTAATTTCTTTGTCGTTCGCTACGATTTCCCTTTTCGATTGCTTTTGATCAAACTCACAGATTTTATCTTCCCTATCTTTCAAGTCGTTCGCTACGGTTTCCCTTTTCGATTTCTTTTGATCGAATTCGCAGATTTCGTCTTCCTTATCTCTCAAATAAAACTCCACACGAGGACTGTGCTTGATCGGCTTCCATTTGTTGTGAAAAATCTCCGGTGGTTCAATATCCTCCGAGTCTTTTATCAAATATGTCTGATTCAGATTCTGGATACCGTCTAGCCATGTGACGTCATCGTTCATTTTATCAATCTCGCCGTCCTTGTCGTCGGTTCGAATAAAATTCTTTTCTGCAATCGATAAATCTTCTTCTGTCCTATTTCTATTTTCATTTCCTTCCTCTCGATCATATAGCCGCTCGAGATCGAGTGGCTGGAAATTATGATGAGTAACAGTCTGAAGATTATCCTTCTTACGACTAATTTGCTTCCACGTCACCAACTGATCGTTCTTTTGCGCATTCGTGTGTATCCTATAAGGCTGCACAGTTATTCCTAGAGTCTTATCGTTCACGGCGACATCGTTGACTCTCGGGTGACCCTGACTTCTAGCGGAAACGATGTTTTTCTGCATTCTAGCGGAACAGGTTTCGCGATTTCTCGCCTCATCGTTTTGAATACGTTGAGAGATCGTTTCGCTTCGGTCAAGTTGTTTTCTGACCGAGGCGACTGGCGATGTGATTTCGTTGGAGGAGACCGGATCGTTGATCCTTGGTCTCGCAGGAGGTGCGGGAAACGTAAGATGGAGAGAATGACGGGATGATATCGCAGGATGGAAGGATCGGCAGGACGTTGATGTCGGTAGGGAATCGTGATCTTCCGTTGGCCTGAGGAGATGGAAGCAGGATCAAGGGCACGTGACTGATAGTCATCAGGAGAAGGTTGTCAAGGTTGAATAGAGAATAATTTTATAAAGTAGATAATTGCGGAGGAAATATTTAAAACACGTGTACTTATGTTTTTAATCAAGTGTTTTTGTTGCAAAATCAAATTCGAATATTTTTTTATATCGTTCAAATTGTCTCGATTAATTTTAATCACAGAATGCTTCTATAAGCTGCCTTATCCTCTTTCCTTCTCCTCATGGGTAGTACTAAAATCTATATCCTACATTCTATGCTTATTTTATCTTATTACAATCGGCTTTCTACATTTTAAGTAATATATAAGAGGTTGAGCAAAATCTCACCTATTCATACGATCGGCAAGGCGTGATTTCATAGGACCGGATGAGGTAGGGGAGTCCTTCAATTGTCCAGGACGTCTCCTGTAAAAGTATATCATAAAATAATTGGACACCATAAGATCTAATAAATCAGGAAATTTTTTGTGCAATATTTTATAATCTAAATTGCATAAAAGATGAATATTAGGGACATTAAGAGGAAATTATGGATGTATGATATAAAAAAAAATTGATTAAACGTAAACAAAAAGTCCACGAATTTTTTTTCTTTTTTTTTTTTGGAACAATTATTACGAGTTACTCTCTTTCTGCAAGCGAGAAAACTCAATTTGCTACTGAAAACAGCACGAGAATTTGACTTACGCAATAGCAGGTTTCTGCTTGACAGATTCTGCTTGACTCTCTCGATTGCAAATAACGCTCGAGATACTCTCCTTTGGTTTAATTTGGAGCACCGGCGCTGACAATGAAGTCTTGGCAGCCTGGTTCGCCGCCGAGCCCGGACTGTACTTCTCACGATTGATGGCTCGCCGATTCTTCAGGGCTGGTGCCCTGTAACTCATACGCGCCTCTAATCGCTCCTTCGCCAGATTGGTCGCCGGGCTCACCGGCATCCGGGTGACTCTGTCTTTGCACCAAGCCACATGACGATCATAGGCCTTGATACCGAATTGCCGGTTGCACGTAGGACACGTGCCCTTCTCGTTGGCGCGTGTCGGTGCGCCCGACAAGGTCAGCGAATTGCTTTGCTTGTGCGAGTCCATCTGAAAGAAAACAAATTGTAGAAATGTGAAAATTTAGTTATAAATAAAAAGATATATAGAAAAATAAAAGATATTTTGTACAACGAATTGTACAAAATTGGAAACAAAACTTCTTATCTTCAATGTGAGAATCATTCCTTTCTATTTATCTTTCCGCTTTGAAGGAATTCGCTCAAAATTATTTAATATAAAATTTAGTTACGAAAAAGAAAGAACGTTTCTCGAAGCATTGGAATTAAAAATAACATATGATCCTTTAATTTAAAACAATCACGTAAAATTAAGACAGGCAATAAGAGTCTAACACGCAGAACTTCGTGCGTAAAAATTTTTCTTTAACATATTGAATCGCTGAAGAAAGGCTCCTGAAGGAGGCTGAAACGTAAGAAAATTTTGTATGGATATGTAACACATTTAACATATGTTGAAAATAAATTTTTACGCACCAAGTTCTGCGTGTTAAACTCTTATTGTCCATTTCCTGATCATTATGGAATTTAACATGCAACAAAATCGTAAAAGAACTCACGACTTCGCCGCGCGCCTCGCGGATCGTCTGCAGAAAGTCGTCGTGGGTCTTCTTCCAGGTGGACCTGATCGTCCTCTCGTCCTGGTGATGCCGCCGGACCTCCTGCTTGGGCTGGAATTCAGCCAGCTCGGTGCCCTGGATCCTCTGCTTGGCCGAGTCGAAGGGCTTGCGCTTCTTGACGGCGGCGCGCTGGCATATCCTCGCGTGCTTCTCCAACGACTGCGGCATGAAGGTCCGCGCGCAAATCGCGCACGGCAGCAAGATCGGCGGCGGCGCATCTGCGTCCATTTACACGGTCCAACAATTAGTGGGCCCCCGCAATTTAAAGTCCGCGTAATAATAGTAGATGTTCTATATACGTATAGATGTTTTCTTTTTCTTTCCCTACGAGCCAAGCCACGAACTCCGATCCTGGTCGCCGGCTGTGTCTAATCACCGTCAAAATGATTAGCCCGGGAGACCGCTATTCTCTCCGCGCGATTACAAACCCGCTTTGAGGTCTACAACGTGAACGTGAGCGCTTTCTTTTTGCCAAATTAATAAATGCTACACTTTCATTTTCTTTTTCTTTTTAAATGTTCCATATACGCGACACTGCGGTGTCTATCCCCGGCATGTTAATACGGAGAATCTGACTCACCCCGTGCTAATCGCTGTTCGCTCTGACAGAGGCCACGAATCCGCGGATAATCGATATTTTCGCCGACAACATCGAGAGATCGCCAAATACGACGACAGAAATACGTCACGTCAACGAAACGCGCGCGCACACGGTAAAAGGCGAAATCGTGTAAGTGCGAAATATGTGCTCGTCATCGCAATCCATCTCAGATCGATCAAATTTAATTTTAAAATTAATATTCAACAGTTTTATTTTCCGAAATAAATACATTCTGCAAAAATCCCCTGTTCTAAATATAATAAATTCTATTATACAGATATTATATTTATTATATAATAGATACCTTTTATTTTTCCAAGTTTATTTCATCGATTTTTTGTTTCTCGAAATAAATAGATCGTTGAAAATACATTCTTAAAAAATCTCCCTTTATTATAATATATTCAACATATAACGTTGATAGTGTTAGATATTATATTTGTATCATACGCTCTTATCTTTCCAAGCATTAATTCCGTCGATAATCTTACTTTCTTCCCGCGGAAAAAAACGCGAGACCTCGGAAGCATTGCGTGGCGATGCAACGATGCCGCGATTGGAAGTATCGTGAATCTAAATTGCAAATTGCACTTTCTTCGATCGCCGCGGGTGTTGCGCAACGACTAGCTACAGTGTTCTCGCCTTGCGAGATCACTCCGAGAGTGCCCCAGTTAATATGAGCTATGCGTTACGAGATAACGCCTCTATTCAATGAGCCGTTCATTTTTCAAGACGACGCGAATCCTACGTTTCCTCTCCTATGGAAATTTCGTCGTGACAAACAGATCGATTCTTGCTTATATCTTTGGCATTGCGTCACCGTTCCAAGGAAAGCAACGAATCATTTCCAACACGTCGCAACGAGATTGTAAAAAGTAAATAAATTGTCCACGTATGCATATATGTATGAAGTTTTTATTTACTTTCATTAGACTTCCACATTTCCATATTTGATAAAAAAAATCCTATTTTATTTTTTTCTAAATCAAAAGAATATCTGGGAACTTTTCCCTATCTTTATTAATTCACCAAATAGCACTTTTGTACATTCGAAATAAGAAATAAATTCAAAATTGAACAGAATCGTCGACAATACTCCGCGACAATATTTCTGCAATATTACGGGCGATTTTAATCGCGCACTCGTCAGTCCCGCGCGGCTTTTATTATCCGATCGAATCGAGGGAGACTCTCGCTTTCTCAGTTTCATTAAGCCGACCGATTCTCACAATCAGGTGCTCGTGTCGCGCGGACGCACCTGCGGCGCCGACTCGCGCGGCCGCGCCGCGCCGCATCGACGAGGACGCCGTGGACGCCGGAGAGACCGAGGGGGTCGCCCCCGCGATTCTCTCGGCTCTCTCGCCTCTCGGGCGAGCAAGCTTCCTTTTTTAGGCGTCACCGCGGAGTTGCCTCGCCGCGCGAGTCACGCGTGTCCCCTATCCGTCACGAGCATACGCGAGAGTATCCGTTCCTTCCGTCCTCGGATTTTTCTTCTCTTCTCTTTCCCGCTCCCTTCTCTCTCTCTCTCTTTCTCTCTCAAGTAAAGAGATACAATTTCATCGCCTGTATCGATATTTCTCATTCGTCAATTTTTTTCGTAGATTCGAAGAACGGATGATTAATCGAATAGGTCGCAGATCGAAGTATAGCCTTCAATGCCGATGCGAAGCGAGACAGCCGCGTCTTTTAAATACTAAATCCGCCAGGAGAATGCGGGTCACCGTATTTGCCTTCGTTCGCGACGCAGATTTCACGTCATTATACATACATACAACGTGCGTGTATTACGATCGCATTATTATTCATGACGCGTATAAAATCCTTTTATCCCGTATAGTCCATTATATCGCCCATTCCATTCATATCGACCTATTTACGATTCCTAATTTTATTCAAATTTTTTTCTCACTTTGCTAAATTTTCGCTTCCTACTTTTCCAGCTGATCTTCCGAGCGACGGCGAGAGATCTCCGGCAATTTGCGTGTGAAGGCTTAACAAACAGCACGACGCTATTTAATGATCTCATTGCGTCGAGACTGCTTAACGACGCCCACAGGCGCGATTGCTTCTGCTTGCGTTTTGCTTGCGGAGTCGCGCGCGTTGTAAAGAAATCGGCGAAGGTTTTTTTTCTTTTCGACGTCACAGCTATTGCCGTTTTTCTCCCGTCCTCTCTCGCCTAAGATCGACGGGACTCTTTTAATGCAATTGCTAAGTCGGTGCAAATTGATCGGTATGTATGCGGCGGAGGTGCGCTATTACGATTCTTATAGCCACTTTTAGACGCGCGCGAGTAGCAGAAAAATAAATATTTTCACCGATATGTAAAAGTGTGAAAAAGTAATCGACTCCTTCAGAGTCGAGTAGCGAGCCTGTTCGAGGAATGAGGTAATAATGATTAATGATAATGCGCAGCTACTGAATCTATTCTGCTAATTTAAAACACTTTATAAGTCACCGTGCAATTTATTTAAAGAGAAAGATGAAATATAGTGTAAGAAAACGGAGTTGTTGTAAAATTATTGTAGCAAATTTTAATATATTTAAAAAAAAATCAAATTTTCAAAAGCAATTCTAATTTCACATGTGGCGATAGTTCTGTACTAATTGAAAATATATTGGCTTTATTTTGATTTAGAAAGTAAATTTGGATATCGACTTGTGTCTGTTTAAATGTAAACAAGCATTTATATACGCATGTTAATATATATATATAATATCAGCAGCAGCAGCATTTAACATAATTCCGAATATTTCAACCTACGTTAATTTTCACAGGAAATTTCGATCGCGTTAAAATTTATCGCGCAAATATTTAATATCCATTAACTAATGTTCTTTTAAATCATACGCGTCATTAACATTACATTTTTCATTCTTATCGCTAAACACACTTCGTGAGACCGATGTAAGGACCAGATAAGCATACGGAGTACATTCTCGTTCCCGATCATTTCACAATTTGTCGATCATTTAAAAGCTGACTTTAAAAGACTTTAAAGCACTCGCGCGAACAACACCCGACAACTCGACAATTCGACAAATAACGATATTATTATGGGGGCGATGTTGAAGCGTAGGACGCGCTCACCTTCCTCGGGAAACAGCTCGATTCGAATCTCGCGAACGGATGACGGTGGACTGTTATCGGCCCCGTCGTGAAATAGGATCCCGTCGTGGAACGGGGCCTCGTCGTAGAACGGGCCCCCGTCCGCGAGTCTCTTCGGGACGCAGCACAGCATCTGATTGCGAGCGCATCAAGGCACCGACTGAGGGAACGCGCGACGCGCGAGGTCGGGGCCGGCTCTTGTAAGAGCGCGGCGCTCTTACAATCGCTGTAACCGCGAGTATCTTCGCGACGGAAGTTTATTTTCGGCCCCGACTCGCCGTCTCACAAAGCGAATCTCGCTCCTACTCTCGCCTCTTTCTTTGGTACACCTTGACTGCGGGTAAACAGTGTAAAGTGGAAACCGTAAGAACAATACATTCGATGGATTATATTCTCTCCGATAAATGGAAAATTTTAACGCTGCTAAAAACGCAACACGTGGTTCTAATCTCCTTTTAAATTACAGACAATAGAAAATATCGCTTATTATTTAACATCCTATTATTAGCATCCTCGTTATTAAATTTTTTTTATTATTATTATACAAAGACGCAAATTTGCACGTCTTCAGTTGCTGACGCGAATAAAAACACTTCAAAATATGTATAATAAATAAAATTTTAAATAAAATTTTAATGATTATTTCTTTCTCTCCATACAAAAATTTGCAATTGTCCCTTAGAAAAAAAGCTTCTCCTACTCTTTCTTCCATAACTACATCGGTAACCACAACAACTCTGTTTACTCTATGTAGTACAAGTAACACAAGGCAAAAAATAAATTGGAAATTTTATTTTAAAAAATGAGGAAAGTGTTTGTCAAAACAATATTTTAATTTTTTTTTCTTTTAAATCAATTGCTCAAAACAATTGGACAAAATGAAGCAATTGCAGATGTTCATGATGTGTGAAATGCTATTAAGACTACAAACTTTATTATCTACCACGTGCATCTTCCTCGCGCCCTATTCCACGCGCACTTACAAAATCTGTCTTAAAGCCGCTCCCTATTACGAAATAGAGGTCGATAGCTTCTCCGCCGTCGCGGTTCCCCGCGATACTTCTCGTAACTGTGCACCGGTGGCCGCGGCCGCGCACTGTTTACCCTATAATTAGAATGGACGGGGACCGTGCAAAGCGAGTGCGCCGAAGAACCGGAAGCGGACGGCGACGACGATGACGGGAAAAGGCACGGGAGAAAGCGGCACCGGCCCGGGGATCTCTCGAACTCTGTTCGCCGCTCGCTCGTCGTAAATATGCCCGCACGACAATGCACACTCGCACCTACTTACCCTCAGCTTCAGCCATGTTCGTCGTTAGGGGAAACACTGGTCGTTATGGGAACGCTGTTCCCTCCTTCGGAGAACAGCCACGAAGCTCGAGGCGGGGATCGCACTGATCGCACTGCGCGAAACCCTCTCGCAATATTTCCTATAATATGATTAAATCCGCATAAAAGGAACTCTCTGTATGTGTGAGTTCTTTTACAGAAAACTGAAAAGATGCATCAAAAAATTTCAGAATTTCAGAGCTGCACAATATAAGTCGTTGTTGAAAAATAATGATTTACATAAAACTATAAGGAAATAATTAAAGGTTAGCGAGGATATTCGCAGAAAAAATCTAAATCGTAATAAATATTTAATGTAAATGTTTTTAAAAAAAGAAGAAAAGAAACACACAGAGAGCTCAAGTAGAAAATAATTTTAAGCATATCAATATTATCCTATAGTATATTTTTCCTAATATATTTCATGATACATATGTATTTACTTATATTTCTGGAGTTTACAGAGTGTAAACTGTCTGTTGATCTCATTTTTAAAATTTATTTATAATTATTTTCTTCTTTTTTTTTTCGAATGTTTGTCCCTTTAAGAGCACGCGCTCTTTAAATGTCAGACTTTGACAGCTGTCATTCAAAGAGATCTGTTCAAGCTGTCTACAGCCCGAGAACATACGCGTCAGTTGATTGCCATGTATGCGTCAAACATGTACAGATATACATGGTAGATAGACTTCGACCAAACGCCGATTAATCTAATCCGACTAATCTGTAATTAATTCGATTACTTATTGTAAAATATTTAGCTATATCAATATTCTTATCTCGACTCATCACTCTCGTATCATCACTCTCGACTCTCTTGAGATTAGTCAAGCCTTTTCTATTTTTACAATTCATTATTTTATTTTTTGATATATAATTACAAACTTTAATTTAAAAAAAAAGGCTTCTTTGAAATTTCGCGGGTTTGTGACGGACGCTATGTTATGTATTATTATATCGCGTTACGATGTGTGACAGGCTAACCTTCTTCAACGATAAGCGCTGTTTATTATGCCTTGGGATCAAGTCTCACGTCAGTATAAGTCGGCGTCGAGTTCAAAGTACGCGATACACCTCGCATCAAACTAACCTAAATCTCTTATCTAAAATCTCGTATACAGGGTACAGTGTCGTGACGAAATGATAGTCATCTCGAGATTCGTGATCAAAAACAGTCCCGCTGTTTCCCAGGTACTTCACGTTTGTAATTACGTGTTTAATCCAGAAGAAAACTACATAATTACATAATGTCTGTACGACTACATCATCGTTTGCGATTACATACGTTGCACGTGCGTGCGCATATGGAATTATTTTATTTGCAACATGCTCAACGCTGATTGGCTCGTGAGAATATGAACAAATCGCGGGATATTTCAAACAGCGCGGAAAAATTGAATTTCTCGCTACAGCTACTTTTTGCAATATTATCGATATACATATAATTATAATTATCAATTTAAATTGTTAACCCGTAGCATTGTTCAACGTTGCAGGGAAGGCATATCGCCAGAACATTATCCACCGAGAAGAAATATGTGGAGACGACTGAAGGAAGCGGGGTAGAAATATTATTTTTGTTACTCTTTCCAACGTCTATTTTTACCAATATAAATTAACTTTAATCTTAGTTTAATTTACTTTTCATCTTTTTTTAATTCTTAGCATTAGAAAAAGATATAAAGTAAGGTAAACCCAGATTAAAATCCACATGATAGAAATAAACATTACAATTATATTCTTTTATTATGTGTAATTCCTGTGCTGACTATTATATTTATCAAATTTGTTATAACTTAAAAGCTTAAAACCCTATATTTTAATTATCATTATTATACGAATTATTTACAATGTTTGCTCATTTGCAATTTAAACAATATAATCATTATCAAGCTTTGCTAACTTATAGTCCTAATTCTATTTGCAATTATGATCCAGAAACTCTATTAATTATCACAGTTATTTATAGTTTTCGTTACTCACAAGAACAATTAACTTGTTTCCACAATCAGGTCAGAACCATCTGTTTGAGCGACTCTTCTTCACTCAACTCCCTATCGCTGGAGATGCTGAAAACCTTGGTGAGAGAGATCAAGAGGGACGAGGACAACAAGGACCTCCGGTCGATCGTACTGACGTCCGCGCACGGAAAGGTGTTCTCCGCCGGGCACAATCTAAAGGAACTGGTTCGTAGCGTTTGGTCTCACTTCTGTATGAGTTCCTCTTCGCATTTCGTCGAACAGAAAAATAGTATCATCGGCTCGCATCGTTTAGACGGTTGCGAACGCCAAGTCCCACAAGGACGTGTTTGAGATCTGCTCGGAGTTGATGCGGGCCATCAGTCAGAGTCCGGTGCCGGTGATCGCGGCGGTGGACGGTTTGGCAGCCGCAGCCGGCTGTCAATTGGTCGCGGCGTGTGACATCGCGGTGTGCACGGAAAGAAGTTCGTTCTCCACCCCAGGGTACTCTCGTGAACTTACTCTTTGTTTATATATTGTCATATAACCATATCTTATTAATATTATCTGCTATTAATTATTGTGTTTCTGTATTATTGAGTGTTGCTAATTATTACAATTTTCTATCCGACGCTTTTCGCAGAGCAAATCTCGGAATATTTTGCTCGACACCAGGTGTACCGCTGGTGCGGAATGTCCCAAGGAAGAATGCGATGTACATGCTCTTCACGGGATTACCCATTTCCGGCAAAGAAGCTTACGAGTGCGGTCTCGTTAGTAAAGTCGTGGCGAACGACAAGCTTGGTGAGTCATCATCGAAAAATAATCGAAACGTTATTAGAAACATTCAAATCGAAAAAAAGTAGACTGATTCTAAACTGTTTAGAAATTATTTAAGAAACGTAAGAATTTAATTTTTGAAAGAGATACAAATATCTTCTTTTCCTTTATAGTTTTTTTTCTAAAAATTAATAAGGAAATAATAGCAAACGTTTATGAATTAACTTTGCATTTATACGTGAATATTTTTTGTATTTAACTTCGATTTCAGACGAAGAAGTTCGTCGAATTACAGACGCAATCAACGCAAAGAGCCGCTCGGTCGTGCATATCGGTAAAACGTTTTTATACGAGCAAATGGCTCTTGATATATCGACAGCGTATACTTTGGGCACCGAGAAAATGGTAAACAATCTGAAAATGAGAGATGCGCAGGAAGGAATACAAAGTTTTTTCGAAAAGAGAAGACCGAATTGGTCGCATGACTACGAGAATAATTAATTACATATATCTGTATATTTTTTTATGCGAACCTTTTTTACAGTTGATATTAAGTGATACTTTTTACTTGCGTATAATTTCAATAATAAAATAATTTTTAAAAACTATATTTTGTATGCAATTTACATCCCTCTGAACAATGTCCATAGTTTAATCCATTAATCACGTAGAAGTCATAGAAAATCATTGTAAACACGATGATTAAGCGTTATAGAATCAAAGTTCAAGTAGCATTGTTCTCGTCGTAAAACTTAATTGAAAATCGTTGAAATTTTTATGTCATAATGATTTCAAAACCTTCCGTGTATTTATAGAAAATTGCAATATTTGCATATTATCGATAATCTGGAGTATCCTAAATTAAACATTCGGTTGTAATTATTTAATTATATAAATTTTTAAATATCGCGGAATTTTTTTAAACGAAATCTGTTATATTATTTAGAATAAAATACGAATTTCATAATTAAAAAAAGTTGGAAAAAAATCAAAATTGTTTGTAGCAGCAATATTTCCTGCTATTATCGATCATTAATTAATTCTCTTTTCAAATATTTAGATTGCACGAGATCTGATGATTCAATTTTATGTAAAACAAAAATACGATATAGTTATGCAGAGCGAATGCGTATATATATAGAAAGTTTTGATGGCATATCGAATTATCGAATTATCGAAGACAGCAATGCTTACGAGATAAATCCAAAAGAAGAAAAATCCACACTTATTTTTTCCTCATTACATTTAATAAACAAACTAAATGCAATTATGCATATATAAGAAACTATTTATAATACTGGCTAATAAATATATTAATTGAAAATAAAAAAGTATAAAATTGATGGCTTAATTATGTAGTTAAAACTATTTTTGTCAAAGAGAGAGTTTATATTCCAAGTAAAAAAAAATTAATTAAGGAGATTTATTTTTAAGTATGAATTCTTATTCGAAAATAAACGATTTATTTGCAATATTATTAAATTTGTATAACAAAAATCATAACGAATTTACGTAAAAATTGATACTAAAATTTCGTGTAAACATTCTGTTGACTATATAAGAAGTCAAGTTCATAGATCAGATAAGTGTTGAAAGAGAAAAGAAACATTAATGTATGTTTATGTTAATCCATCTCATAGTCGTATCAGTATCATAGCGATTAACCTATATTTAATGTTAAATGTTTCCTTTAATCTTTTACTGAAAAATATGCAATTATCTGAATCTGCTTTTGTATGCTTTATGCAAAGATTATTATATCGTGAAATGTATTCCGTGTATGCATTAAATAACGTTCAGTACGTGAAAATGAGTGAATAGTAATATGGAAAAATAGAATTGTTGTAGTATTTTTTATTTACTTATTGTTAGTTATATTTATATTTTAATTTCATTTATCTTTTTTTATTTACCTTTTATTTATCTAATGGTAAATTTATTTACCTAATGGCTTGTAATGCCTTTTATTTATCTATTTTCCAAAAATCATTTTATCTTTAAAATATTTTTCCCTTTTGAATTTTTGAACTTCTACATAAATTATTTATTTCTGTAAAAAGATAAACAATTACAAAAAAGAATAATTATCAATAAATCCTATATTTTATCAAATTTCTCATTTAATGAATTTGTCTGGCAATCGCGGATTAATTAAAACGGATCAATTGGAAGAATATCTAAGTATATAAAATCGTGCAGAAAAAGTATATGTATATATTTATCACTCGAAGCTTGTCCAATTATCCGCTTTATTTAAATGCGATAAACAATACCGGAGTAAAACATGATTGTTTACATGCATATCATTGATGCAACTGTCCTATTTATGATAACCGACAACCGAGAAATATTTATCAAAAGGAAAGGAACGTCCGCCGCAAGATTCGTGAAGCGAGAAGCATGAACTTCGTTTGTTCGCGGTCTCGTTTTGTAAATTTGTCTGTTGCGATAACGCCTTTGCCCTTGATCCTTCCCGAGAAATCTTCGTTTGTGGTCCTCGCGTCAGTTTGATACGAAAGATGACGTCGGACTTTCAGTGTTTCTATCTGATAAACGATTCGTCCCCGACTGATGTTCTCGTTCGTAATAACAGGCGTAATATAATTCTTCGGTACAATTCGACGGTATCGAAACACGAGTATATTTAGACGTTTGAATGTTTTCTTCTTTTTCTTCTACGGTATCATTCTACCGGTATCGAACGTGTTTGTCTTTTGAACTCTCGTATCGTTATAGCACCGGAGGAGTCAGACTACGACACTGGGGTTCTCGTTCACTGAAGACGATAAAGGTCGGGACCGCGGTGGTCGGGTAACACGTCAGAGCGAGGAGGATCTTCGAAGTCTCGAAGGCCGCCGATACGCCGCTCTTATTACGGCGCATTAAAAAAAAAGCATCTCTCTCTTTCTCTTTCCTCGTCCGTCTCGGTCCCGCTATCTCGCTTTTTCTCCGACCGAGCTTATAAGTGACGACCGCCGTCGCGCCGGGGAGCAGTAATCACGTTGGATTATTCTGGAATAGATTCCGAAGCCGAAGTCGAAGCGACGCGCATGCATAGCGCACGACGAGTCGCAGATCGCAAATAGCGGACGCAAAGCGGAAGTACCGGTCGACGACAAGGACTAGGCTCTCTCCCTTGGTTGATGACTCTTACCGAGACCATCATCGCTGGCGGTTGCCCGAGGCTTGAGGCTTCCCGGAGGAACGAAACTCAAAAAGCGGATCGGGACAGGAAGAGAGGAAGCGCAACGCGAAAGACGAGCCTGGCACCGCGAAGACGATTCACGAGAAGGCAGATAACGGAATTGCTTTTCGAGAGTTGCACCGGTCAGTTGGCGAAAGAAACGTAGAAAATATATTTTTAGACGAGAGCGCAGCTTCAACAACGTTTTTGCGAGCCCCCCCCTTGAATCCGCTCGTTTTTGCGGATTTATACAAAATGAGACGAAGTGCACATTCGAGCCTCGGACAGCGAAAAAGAGAACAAATGGAGTGCAATCGAGACTGCAAATATAAACGTTATCATGTCAACTGGACGCGCGATCCCGATTCGTTATTGCCGTATGAAAAGGAAATGTACTTTAGCGGCAATACTGATGGCGGTGGCGTAATTATCATTACGAGCGAAGATCAAAGCTGTAATGATATGAAAGGCATGATAGCGGGGGGCATAAATAGCTATGAATGTATATAGCAGATCGTACAACCCACATGCATACGCACGTACATACATACATGTATACATTAGCCGCACTGTTATTGTTTTGATTCGTCACATGACCAAGTTCGACAGATATATTTTCCCTTTATGTGGCATTTATTAATAACCACTAAATTAAGTAATTTTCTCTCTTGAGATTACTGTAGAGATACTTCTTAATAGTAAAGCATGCATCGCAATTATTGCATGATGTACCCAATCGATTCAAACTTAAATTCAATTATAATAATATACGTGCAAAATAACGTTTAAAATTACTAAAGTAATTTTAATATATCATCAAGAAGTATTTTAACATAAATAAAGTATAAAGAGAGAGAGAAAAACAATTTAATAATCATTAATAAATGTTTTATAAATTCGATTACTACGAGAAGAATTATATAGAATATTAATTGCTTCGAAGTAAAGTATATTAACTTTGATTTAAGAGGACACGATGATTTTAATTACTTGATAACAAGTCATTTATGATAATATTTATTTTCTTGCAGACTGTGAAAAAATGGCTTCCATTCCGCAGGGTGCTTTCGCAGCGTGGAAAGTTCGCTGTAACGAGGAACTCGCTGTTTCCATCCCTACGATGGATAGAAAAGAGAAGAAGGAAAATATATTCAACCCGAGACCTCCTTTAGAAGGTAATATACATATGTTTTTATTCGTGTTTTAAATTCATATTCAATTTCAGACGGAAACGTTTTATTTACGTCATTTTATCTTATTTACTTGGACCACTTTGATTTTACTGATTTATTAAATGTGCAGGTTGGGAGTTGACACCGCTCAAGTACAATAGCAAACTAATGAACAGCATTTGGGGCCTGTACAATCGCTATTCAGTGCACAATTTTAAGAAGAACACTGACGCCGAGGAGGGGGCCCGCGGTGGGGTGGCCGCGGCGATCTGGGGCACCATCTTGGAGAGCCAGCCCCAGGCCGCCAACGTCGCCGCCGCCACCACCGCGGAAGCCCACCAGATCATGACCGGGAATCGCCTCTAAACACGACGCGGCCACGTGACTTCGAAAAATCATTCGAAAATGATAGTCGGGAATGAGCGCGAGTTATGCGCATAATTACAATATAAAATGGGGTAATAAATAAAATAAAAAATATATATGTATATAATTTGTATATGCGTAATTACTAATATATATATGGAGAAAACGTGTACACAAAAGATATATTAGTAATTACCGAATTATGTGTATATACAAATTTTATGATAGCTCTAAATGGCCATTTGGGCACTTTTGCTATGAGTTTTTGCCTCGATTACGTTATTATCAAGTTATTTCAATATCGTTGTCTATAATATCTTTTTGTTGTGTCGTTCTTATTGAGTTGTTCGTTTTATTCATTTAAAAACCAGATTTATATTAGAATAAGACAGCTCAAAATTAACTGTGCTATTATTATTGTATCGCAATAATCGGAAACTTTTAGCAGTATTTAAATGTTCCATTTCGTTTAGAAATTTTTTTGAGATCGATTTATCCTAAGATGTTCAATTTAAATGTCTCCAATTTTTTTCGCATAATTATAAATATTTGCGTGAAAAATATTAGAATAATAAATATAGTGATTGATAATGAATTATGTGATCGATTATGTATTATTGTAATAAAATAAATAATAAATGAATAAACTAGAAATGTCACGCGTACGTATATTATACCAATATAATACCATACTATAATTGAAATTAGATTTAATTTTTAAATTTTTTATCTCAAAATCCTTTGACAAATGAATTTTTTCCGTCAACATCTTAAATTGCTATTGTTCAACTAATTTAGGGTTATCTCAGTTAAATACCTATCTATTTAAATAGTGTTTAATTCAAAACAAAAACCTTTTTAAAGAGAGAAAAGAAAATTACTATACAATATCGTAATCTTTATCCGGAAAAAAATTGTTCACATAAGAACATATATAAATATATATAAACATATATAAAAAATATAATTATATATTTTTATATGTTCTTATATAAAAAATTTTTTCCCGGGTAGTATCTTTAGTATAATAAAAAAATGAATAATTCTATTTACGTAACTATGTAAATTATGTAAACAAATTATTATAGATATTAATTTTTAAGTTAATTAAGGATTAACTTAATAGCAAAATTTTCGAATTATAATATAGTATTAATTTATTATTTCTTAATTTAATATTTCTTCCTGGTATCAAACAACAAAAAAAAGAAATAAAAATTTCTATTCAAGTTAATAAAATATATTAAATAGATATTACTATATAACTATAAATTTAATCGCTGATTAAATCAGTCGGCGAGTTCGAAATCATTCGTAATCACTGACACTACCTGCCGGCGATTGTAGCAAACTTCACGACGCTCCATGCCATATGGTGGGCGCGGAAATCGATCTTTCGATTTGCAAAAAAAGTTCGATCGGCATGAGCCGTCGAGGTGCGCCGAGGCGTCGAGGGCGCGTTTTATCGAGACGTGTTTACTAATATAACGGGTGATCTCTAATCAGTAAAAAAGAAAAAGAAAAGAAATGGCTCTCTACGACAATCAACACTGGCTCCTGTCGCACATCAGGGACAGCTTCCTCGCGACGGACGACACGGGTTTGTACTTCTGATAAATTTAGGTTAGAAACGTCAAACGTCAGCGGTATTAATTTGCGAGATATGGTACCAATTTGCAAATATTTCAAAATAATATTTCCGATAACGCACGATGACGCTTGTTGTAAGATAAATGGGATTAAAATTAATTGTTTATATATTAATGCGACCCAATAATAAATAAGCCATAAATGCATTGTTATATGGTATTACGTATTCTATATTTTAGTCTATTTAGAATTGTAATTAATTTTTTGCTGTATATATCTTACATCATTCTCTCAATTGAAAGGTATGTGCGACATGGTGATACTGGGGGAAGATATTCCTAGGCAATTGAAGAAAAACGGGACGCTGCAATGTTATCCTGGTATGGAGGAGAGTGACGATGAGGATTTAGATGCGATGGGAGAATCATATGACATACAAATGGGTACGTATTTCTGTTGTCTGTTATTTTATAAGAAGAACACTCACATAAAGCTCTCAAATCAGAATTGATTCGATTCGAGTCTAACAAAATAATTTTGACAGCATATAAATTGAGTTGTAATTGTGGAACTGAATTAAAAATGATTATTTCTAATTTCTAATGAATCACTTAATTATAATTCTTTTTTGCTTGCGACATTTGTTCTAGACATGGAATTCAGTCACAGACAGAGATCTAACACTGCACAAAGACTAGAGAAGATGGACATAGAGAGGAAGAAGGCTGCCAAAGTCAAGCATGTCAAGTGGGAGCACAATCCTAGCGCCGTGACGCCTACGGATCGGTCGGATCTATTTCAGAGGAAAGACTTTCGTAGGAAAACTCCGCTTAAAAAGGCACAGTCTCTTTTGTCGGAACAACTCGAAAAGTGTCCGTATTTACCGCCGAATCCATTCAAGGAGTACGCCAAATTTGACGGCAACGTATGTAATACTAATTTTTCATTTTTCTCAAACAAAGAGCTTATATTTCCAAAAAGACGTCTTACGAAATGAAAATTATACACTACAAGATTGCTTTCTTATGGCAAAAAAAATGGAGATTATGCGTTATATAACTTTTCCTCTGCGAATTTTCTTGTGTTGACATGTGAATTTACAAACATGTGAATTTATAATATATTCAAAAATATAATGTAATTAATGAATTTCATTTTGTTGACAAAACATGTGAATTTACAATAAATTCACAATACATCATTTACAATAAAAATATAATGTAATTAACTCTTTGCAGGCGCAAGTGAGCATCCCTGTGAGAAGGTATAGGATATTCATGTGTATGCTGCCGAAAGAGGACAGGATGTATCCAGTTCAGGTGGTGGTGACAGCAACGGCACGGGTGTTGGACTTTATCGGTTTGATTTGCTATAAATATGCATGTGAACATCCCGATCATAATTTGAAGTACGTAACAAAAGTTGCTTGGCGTTGTTAGAATGCATACGACTTTTTCACGAAGTTTCGATCGTTACTTCCAGGGAGGACATCTCACATTACGGGCTGTACATAACTGAGGATGACGGTGAGATAGACTCGGCCTTTCCCTGCTTGGACCCGCACGAAATTATCTCCAAATTCGAATTCACTACGCTGGGCCTGATCGAGATGAAGCCGAGCGATAAAGCACGACACAACACAATCAGTTGCATCGAGAAGAAGGACGAGGAGGACTTCGAGCGTAAAGACAAGGAGCAGGAAGAAGTTGCGAAAGATTTGGCCAAGATGGAGGGTCACACTACCGCGATGGAGGCGCCGTTGTACCAATCATACAGGTAATTCCTCAATGTATTACATCACATTAAGTTATATACAGATAATTCCTCAATATGTTACATCATATTAAAAATATCATATTGAGTTTTTTTTTAAATCAAATATTTTATTTGTTAGAATAGCCAAACTCTCTAAAATGTAATTAGTAAATAAAATTTAAATAAAACTCAAACAAAAAATATGAATATTTATATAAATTATTAGAAGTGATGATGAAATTGAATGGAAGTACAGTGGTGAAAATTAAGTTGCAAAATCGAGAGAATAATATAGGATCGATAATTGTTGAGGTGCGTTCGAATTGCATTAAGAATGTACACATGTACTCTCTCAAATTGCAGGGTATACATAATTAACAAAATGCGAGCAAAGACAGAGATTCATCTCGGAATATCGGGCGAGAAGATAGAGATAGATCCGGTGATAACGGGCAAAGGCGCTGCCAGGTTTTGGAATAGACAGCGGGCGGTCAGTTATCACATAGACAACATCGCCTGGTGCGAGGTGACGGAGACTAAGGGATCGAAAACTATATTCACACTGGTTTATACCCCGCAATCCAGCGCTCCGGACAATATTCTGAGTGAGTTACTTTCTTTTTGCATAATTACATATCGCCTGACGATTTCATCTCTTCCAAGAGAAGAAGATTTCAAGGAGAATCATTATCTTTCGCGTAAGAAAATTCGCAGAGAGGATTTCTAAATTTCCAATAAATTTTACAATAAAAACTATTCATGTTTCATAAATGAAGCTTTAATCTTACTGTGTTGACGGTGTGTTACAGGTCAAAGTCATTCGCTTCATCAATCGGCGTCCTTCAAGAATCACGATTTCGAGGCGGATTCGGTGACGGCCGAGGAGATCGTGCGTAAAATCAATCACATCCTGGAACTGCATAGCAGCCAGTCGAGAAAGGAGTATCTCGCGCAGAAGGAGAGGAAAGCAGCGAGGAGGAAGAGCTTCCATCTGCACAGATGACAGCTCTATTGGTTAATCCGCACAATCTTAGATTATTTGAAGCATTGAGTATTAATATACATATATATATACACCACAGAACGTGATCGTAGGAATCGCTCCGAGATCAGAAGTACCTTCACATACGATCGATATCTCGAATCTCGTTGACGGGCCAGAAATGGCGGAAAGTAGAAGCGGTATTGTCCGTATTCCACAGATATAAAGATTTAATGTTGTATAATATCGGTATAAATTATTTCGTATATTTATTACATATTATATTATCTCGTATCTCGTCGGTGTGAATACGCCGAGGAACGCGACTGTCGTACGCGAAGTAAGTATTGTATAATCAACCGTGCGTAGTGTTGTTGTGTATTTAATTAATTTAAGTGTTATTTATATACTTTTACTATGATGCTCCTGTCGCCTGTAAATTTAATAGAGCTGAAAGAATAAACTACACCTAAAACCACGCTGCTCTCCGCTTCACTGTTGCTCCTACAACGAGCGCTTGATAACGTTTACGGTGGCCCTGGATATGTTGTCCTCCATCTTCTCCATGAATCTCCGATTCAATTTATGTACATGTTGACTGAGTGTAGATATCCTTAACGCCACGTCCAACAATTTCTGACTGTTCCTGCAGATGTGCTCGTAATTGGGGCGCGTCAAGACGAAGGCTCTCTCGGCCTCGGTCAGTACGTTTATATCGAGAACCTGTCCCTGTCCCTCCGCGCTCGCCTTCTGCTTGGTCAAGTTTCTCCGTTGTGTCTTACGACTCCTGTACTCCTGCTGCCAGTCCCTTCGCTCCTGCCTGAGCCTCTCTATATATTCCTTCAGATTAAAGGCCTCGTCCTTTGCATTGCATTCTCCTTCGTCTTTGTTTGATGTGAGTCTGTCGTTGGTTATAACTTCATTGTCATCTGGAAGAAGATATATTGAGCTGCAGTTGCTAGAGTTTGTTTTGGAGATCAGCTGATCCTTTGTATGTAGAAATTTAACATTTTTAGGAAATAAAATTGCTCACAAGAAATAATTGCATTTGTGAGAAACAATGCTGTCAATGGAGACAGGCGTATTCCGTTCTCCACGAATGAATTTAAAGACAATGAAAATTGTCTTTAAATTCATTCTTTTGACGCTGAAAGTTTGTTTTTCCTCGCGATCGCAATAAATACGCGTCACTTCGCGGGGCCGAGATCGGACTAACCTTCATCGCGGTTATGCACCACAGCGCGCGTCTGGAAAATCGACGACCTGCGTTTGCGGACGGTCCTCTCGGATTTAAACTCTTCATCGAAGTTCGACACATCAGCCATTATCGCGAGATTTGTCGTAGCAAAGGATCATTTCTCGTTAATGTTCATCGCCATATACGTAAGTGTACACAACATGGCGGAATAACTTTCAAACTACAAACGAACTCGCGCATGGAGTATGTGATGCCTTTTGGCCAATCAGGAGGATTTGAAAAATCAGCTGATTCTATCCGTGGATCACGTATGATGTAGGTGCACATTCGCATGTAAAATTTATTTGTACATGTCTAATTCTTGTTTTATATAATAATGGTTAAGTATATATAATTATTAATAACATATATGATTATTATACATTGATATATATAGTGTATTTTATATTTGTCTTGTGTAAAATTATGTCATTTTAGTATATAAAACGATTATATATTAAAATGACATAATTATGTCTCTTGTTATCGTATTAATTATCGTATTGTTATCGTATTGCACGTACTAATTGCGTTTGCGAGCAAATCAGATAATCACGTCATTTAATTTATTTAATCAGTCAGTTTTATTATAATTATTTTTAAATCGCTTGTAGGGTATTACATATTTTTTATTTAAAATAAGTGAAAGCAAAAGAGAGGAAAATTGGTACATATGTGAAATAAATTAATATTTAAAGTTAAAATATCGTATTGATGCTTTACCGATATTATACATTCGAGGATCTTTGAGAGCTGACGTCATTTAAAAACTCTCGATTGTGATTGGTCGATTACATCTTTCTGTGTGTTTGCATTCACAGTTCAATTTTATAATTAAAATAAGATCTTTAATCTGGATGATCCTTTGCGTTCATTTAATGAAATGATCGTGCAGCATTTCAAGATCATCAGGGCGATCTTTAAATTCACAAAATCCGGCTATAAATAACATCTGCAAAGGGGCGATACACAAAGGGCTCGCCACATCGCGCTCGTCGTGTGGTCCGGCATTTAGCGTTTCGCCACTTCCGGCGAACCCAGGCGGCGCTGAGTACCGTGTGCCCCTTTTTTTTTCCCCAGGAGCTGGAGGGGAGTTCGTTCGTACCCCCTGCCTGCCAAAAAGGGGCAGCGCGTGAAAAAGAGTGATGCGAAAATTGTCAAATATCGGGCGCACGACGGCGGCGGTGCGGCGAGCCCGGTGAGCCTGGTGGTCGGTGGTGGTGCGCGGCGTACGTAAAAAAAATAATAATAATAATTAAAGAAGAAAAAATACGAAGTACAAAGGGAGGAAGGAAACCAAAACAAAACACCGTAGCCGCGCTAGCGCCGAGGTAGTCAACGCGGCGTGCGGGGCGCGATGTCGAGCACCCTGGAGAAGAAGATCATGAATCTGGAGGAGCGGCTGCGGGCGGAGAACGAGTCGCGGGACCGGGACAGGCAGGCCGGCGGCGAGGTTGGTGGCCCGGGCACCATGGGCTTGCACTCTTCGTCGTCGTCGTCGTCGTCGTCGGCGGCGGCGGGCCCCGCGTCCAGCCCCGCGCTCCGCAGACCCCGGCAACGTAAGCAGCTCGCTCTAATGCGCGCGCGGAGGTCCCACCTGCGAGGTGGCCCCCCCATCCTGGATCCTCCTCCGCTTCCCCGGATCGATATACGGTCCGTCTCCCCGGCGATGCGTTACCGCGTTCGCGCGCGTGGTACAGGTTATGTTGACCGTATCTCTGGCCGCTGTTGATCGATCCCCGTTGTCGATTCCGCGACACTCGAGGACTCGCGACGCGTCCGGCAGGACGGCTTTCCTACGTTTCGCGTCTCAATTTTTGTCATCTGTATTTTGTTTACCTCGAGCGTCACCTCGCTCGCCGATTTGATTCGCTCATTTTTGCTGAACCACTTTTTAGATTCGTAATCCGTTTATTATTTTGTTACCGAATTTTGACGAATTGAATCGAAAAGTTCGAAGATTGCTGGTAAGTGGCGCAGTATAAATAAGTGTCGTAATAATTTTTAGGAGAGCGTATGTTATTATAGCTCAATGTTAGTAAATAATTATGTACAGAGTATAAATACGGGATTGAGATAATGTTAAATTAAAAAAAGCTATTCAATAACATATGAATTTATCGACTAAATCTGTAAGCTTGATGTTAAACTTTTTGGAGAAATAACTGAAATCTCTTTCAACATTGATATTAGGATTATTTCTGATTAGTGAATCAAATGTTAATGACTCGTTACATGCCAAATTATAAAGAAGTTATATTACGTTTAATTATAAGGAAATAGCTTAACAAAGTATTGATATATTAAAATACTACACATTTCTTGACAGTTGGGGATATGGGTACCCCGACACGACCCAGAAGACAGCTGGATCTGCCAGTGTCGCAGATGACGCCGCCAAAGATGCACGACAGCGAGGTCGAGTTGAAGCTGCAGGAAATCATGAAGATGAACGGCATCCTGAATATCAATGGCCAAAGGTATCAGACGGAGATGAAGGATCTGGAGCATCTGGGCGAGCTTGGTAACGGCACCTGCGGACACGTTGTCAAGATGAAGCATAAGCCGAGCGGCGTGGTAATCGCCGTGAAGCAGATGCGGCGCTCCGGGAACGCGGAGGAGAACAAGAGAATAATTATGGATCTCGACGTCGTGCTCAAGTCGCACGACTGTCCATACATTGTGCAGTGCCTGGGCTGTTTCATCACCGAATCCGACGTTTGGATTTGCATGGAACTGATGGCGACGTGCCTAGACAAACTGTTGAAGCGTAGCAGGCAAGCGATACCGGAAGATTTTTTAGGAAAAGTTACAGTAGCAGTAAGTTTCTTTATGCTTTTGTGAGATATTTTGTTTCCCCGAGTTTCAAAATTGTTAAAAATCTTTAAAAGTCTTAGAAAACTCATTAGTGAAAGATAAGATAACTTTATTATTATCATTATTTTTAAAGTTAACTTTTCTACGTCGATTTTTTTTCCTTAAAATGTATCCTCATAATGTATTATTCTGAATTATTTTTATGATAATTTCGAAATGATTGAGAAAACGATTTTACATTATACTTTTTTTTTCTCTTTAGACAGTAAAAGCGTTGTCGTACCTGAAAGAGAAGCACGGCGTAATACATAGAGACGTGAAACCTAGTAATATATTATTGGACGACACGGGAGGGGTGAAGCTTTGCGACTTCGGGATTTCTGGCAGACTGGTCGACAGCAAAGCGAAGACGAGAAGCGCGGGATGCGCGGCATACATGGCTGTGAGTATAAGATGTACATCGCATTGCGGAAGAATGTTCAATTTTTCTAAATAACGGAATAATTGTGCACTTCTGCCGTGTTCCTTGCGCAGCCTGAAAGGATAGATCCACCAGATCCTACTAAACCGGATTACGATATAAGGGCGGACGTGTGGAGTTTGGGCATTACTCTGGTGGAACTAGCTACGGGAATATTTCCTTATCGAGACTGCAAGACTGATTTTGAGGTAAAATTTTTCGTCGGAAAATTTAACTCAATCTTTGTTATCTTCGTATGGGAAAACGGGAAAACTAACTGATAATTTTCTATCTCTATTACGAAATGTAGTAGTTAAGTGTGCGTAATGTATTTATGTATTGGAATGAACTTTCGCACTGGAAAGCAATCCTTTTAATTCAATGTGGAATTTATTTGTAATACGCCTTGAAAAGATATATTTTGAAGTTTGCTCCTTTCTGTATGAATACACCTCGCTCCGCTCACATTGTTTCTATACTTATTATACTTCTCATATTGTCCTATTGCAGGTACTGAGCAGAGTAGTACAAGACGATCCTCCGTCTCTCCCAGCGGACGCGCTCTTCTCCAAGGAGTTCAGAAATTTCGTCAGCTGCTGCCTGACGAAGAACTACAAGCACCGGCCAAAGTACCACAAGCTCATGGAACACGCCTTCATTCGCAAATACGACGTTCTGCAGGACGGCGAGACGAATTCCGCCTTGACAAACTCCGGCTGTCAATGGTTCGGCAAGGTCATGCGGCAGCTAGAACCAAGGTGGGGATCAAGATGTGCTAATTGCTGTTCTCTGTTTGCTTTTCTTAGACGTAATATTTAGGACGTAATATTTAATAGCGATAGGAGAAAGACAATGATAATGATATAATCATTAAAAACGCATTACTGTGACAGCGAGATCGCGAACTTTTAAACATGGCATGAGATTTCTGACTAATAAAGATACTGATCTCTGGTTTGGTTATCTATTTTTTTTTATTTTTTATTTTTTTTTTCGTCTCGGCAATAATCAAAATTTAATCGCATTTTAGCGAGCGATTTTTTGTGAAAAGACTTTACGCACTTAACATATTCACGGTCAGTGAGTTTTGGACCGAAGCGAGTTTTGCGAGAATTGGCCTGTCGTTGGATGTGTAACGATTGTACGAGGTGTCCCGGAATTATGGCGTCTTTGGCTCTCAGCCAGCGGATTCTTTCTCTCGTTGATTGCGTGTTCGACTTTTTGCAATTGGAAGAAACGATCGAATTGCGAATTTGTCGAAGAATTTGCGGCCGAAGAGAGACGCGATATACTCCCGGAACATTCGGTATACATTTATCTCTGATACTGCTTTGCAAAAAAAAAAACTGACAGTTCCTTCTTTCGAATTAAAAGTTTGCGTGCGTGTTGAATTGTGTTGCAGCGTTGAGCTTGAGGGAGGCAGCGCGGCGTAGCATCCTCTATCTCCCTCGTTCCTTTCTCCTTTCCTACTTCCGCTCCTTCCCGGATAAATCGCCTGAAAATCCCCGAAACAGATTTACAAAAAAAAAAGAGAAAAAAAAGATAAATTACCCCGTTACTCAAAATATCCAAAAGTCTGCCCGATTTTCATTTCGAGTTGTTTGGTTTGTGCACGCGCCTGTTACACACCCCACCCTTCAACCCCTACTCACGGTAAGCATTTTTTTATTTATTTCAATGTATTTTCGTTTCTCTCTTTTCGTTTCTTACTTTTGTTGCGTTTAGCGCGTAGCGACTCCGCCAACTCCGTCGCGATGCACGCATAATTTTTCCCTGTGCACATGCCATTTTTCTTTTCTTTTTTTGCAAAATTGATTTTGTAAAAATGAACTCTTGGCTATTGCAGATCAGGGACGAAATTGCTGCAGCGAAATTCACGTAACCGTGATAAAGAGGATTATGTGGATCATACAGATCCATATCCGAATCATAGAAATTTCAGTCGTATCATTTACTTTTTTTTTGTCAGCAAAATTTTCATAGATCCTCATCATTTTGATGCAAAGTTTTCGCCGTGAGCAGCTCGTTCCATGACTTACATGACGACGCAAGAGATTCTGATCTCGCAGCATGATCCTCCGGAAGTTTCCGGCACGATTTAAAGATAATCTGACATCTCTCTTAACAGAAAACTTCGTCATCTACGTTTTGCATACTAATAATTAACGATTAACGCTTTGCTCTAACTTTCATTAACCCTTCTAGCCTGAGGTTTTCTTGCAGAACACACATCACGGTACGATTGTGGGATGATAGTGGTACACATACATGCATATCGAAAGAATCAAATCGCACTTTCATGCTGAAGGGAAATCAATCGTATTCACAAATCTATCCTTGGCAGAAAATTTCATTCGGAATGGCGACTCAGTTCCAGATTGCCAGGAGGTCAGCAGCGAGTTTCGGGTCACGTGTCCCTGAAGCAGACAGCCCACCTTCGAGCGCAGTCCGAGATGCCGGCCTTCCTGAAGAGCAACATCAACAGCAGCATCAGAGAGCCGCCGAACTGCGGCTTTCTGACGTTCCATCAGCGTTGCAACAGCGAGAACGGCGCGAGCTACGTGCCCTACAGTCCGTACGCTCTACGTCGGAAGGAGATCGCGCGACCGTTCTCGCCGCCGATATCCAAGGACGCGGCGGATCAGCCGGAGCCGAATCTGCCGCCGCGATCTTTCTCGCCCTACCGGCAGCACGAGCAGACTATCGCCAGGCACGATTACAACTCTTCGAATCGCTGCTCGACGACGAACGGCCAAGGTAGACAGGAGACGACGACGACGACCACGGCGACGACGACGGCGAGACCGTTCTCCCCTTACAGGACTCCGGACGCCAGTTTGGACAGCAACGGTCGACCGTACTCCCCGTATCGCAGTAGCCGTTACGAGGAGATGTTACGGGACGGTGGTAACAAGGCGGACCGATGGCAGGGAGGCGTCTCGAGATCGTTGAGCCCCTTCACCAGAGACTACTCGCCCTGGCGACGGGAGAACGTCGATCCGCCGAATGTCATTCAGCCACCACCTGCCACGTACGACAACAGCGGCCGTTACTCGCCGTTTCTGCAGCATCGATTCGCGCAACCCCCGTCGCAGCAGCCCGCGACACTCCAGACCTATCCGCAGACGCAGAACATCTACGGTAGTCCAATGATCAGCCGCAAGAGGTAATTGGATACGTTGAAAAACTTAAATTATTTACTGATCATACTATTATTTTTTTTTATTTTCTTTATTTATTTGTTTATAAGTATATCTTCTACGTTATCTTATGTTTATTTATAAGTATATCTTCTATGTTATCTTATGTTTATTTATTTTAATTTTAATTTTAATATAATTTTAATTTTATCACTTGTACGAGAGAATAATTTTACTATCTTTACTATCTTTTGATATAAGAATTCATCTTTCAATCAACTTCACTTTGATAATTTAGTGTGTAATATAAGCTTACTATTCAACAAAGCTGCCGCATATATTTCTTTTCTGTTTATCATGACCGATCGGCGAGAGATTTGTCATAAAGTATAATAAATATTGCTACCTATTTTACATCAGGTTTCCTTCGGAGCCACCGCCACAGGGATCTCACGGTTCCACTAGTCCACAGTTGTTGATCTCCCGTTTCGCGCATCAGCTGAAGCAGGAGTCGCCGCCGTCGTCATTGGCGATGCCGCCGCAGCAGATCATTGGCTCGAAGGAGTCCGCGAAGAAGCGCTTCGCGTCCTACGTACGCCTCAGGCTCGGCAGCGACCGCGCTCCTTCGCCGGAACCACCGCCGAGACTGAGTCGTGGCGAATCCCCGCTTGCCCTTAGGAGGAATTTAGTCGAACAGGCGTCCCCTTCCTTTCCGCGGAGGTACGCATCTCTTTCAATTTACTTTTTGCTCGCCAAGGAGATATCTTGTATAATTATGAACTATACAGAGTGTCCCGAATTTAAATGTCTAAACTTTGAGATTGATAAACTAAGAAAGAAAATATTTACGTTAAGGAAGTAACAACGTAAATAAATAAATGTAAACGAATAAGTGATATAAATATTATAAATAAGTACAAAAATGAAAACCTGTTTTGGTTTTTTTTTGCGATTTTCTTCAAAATGAAGCAAAAACAAGCATATCTCGGAAGGACTTTTTTTTCTTAGTTTATTGATCCTCTATACGCTCCTAAAATTTACTACATTTAAATTCGAGACACCATGTGTAATCATAATTGAACGTTTTTTAATGAGATCAAAAGAGAATAACGTATATACGTATAACAGATGATTTGGGTTTCTTCTAGGTACGTCTCGCCTTCTCCGCCCCAGCCGCCGCCTAGGAGATTGTCGGAGAGCAATTCCGTGCCTGGTAGCCCGCAGCACGTGCGAGCTCGCCTGCGCTACACACCCGAACCTCAGAGGAGACCTCCGCCACCATAACCCACCGTTACAATCATTAAGCCTTATTATTATTATTCCTTGTTGGTGCCATACGCGACTACGGACACCCGGACGACGATCACCACGTAGTGGAGCGAGGTGCATCGTTATTCGACAACGGTTGCGCGCACAGAGCGAGTCACAGTGCACGTGTAGACGCAAACGTTCGTACACGTGTTCTCACCGTTGTGAAGTATAAACCAAAAGAAAAGCGTAGGGAGGAAACGGAGAAGCGTGTCCTTTAAATACTCGAGCCGACGCGAACTCGGAGTTGTGCGCGAGTCGAAGATTTGTACGGGAACGTCGATTTAGCGTGCGAAACGGCTGGAGGAGACGCGGGTAAATATTTCACATTGATTTGACATTCTCACACATTTGGATTCGCGAACGCGCTTCGAACGCGAGAATTGCCTTAAGATATACGAGGACTTATATACTTGTAGCTAGTACGAATATTTCAGATCTCCAGAAAGACTTCCGAGTGTTTCAGGTTTCTGATGCGAAGAATATTTTCTGAATTCCTTATTGATGTTAGGAAAACGTAGGGAAGAGAGTGAAACGTCTTTTTCGAGTTTAGAGCGCTTCACACGCTAAAGTCGTTGTAAACGTAAACTTCCGCACGGTCGAGTAGCTTTCAGCTAAAATCGCGCCGACCGTCTCGGTTTGATTGATCCTGGCGTACAAGTAATTGGAACGAATTATTTTCTCTACAAGATAGGCTGGGAAAGTAAGAAAAAAAAAAATGCATAAATCAATCCTCAAGAGAAAAAAAAAACCTACTTAGATAGTTTTGCAACAAATTCTCGCCGAGCTCTTTTGCCTTAACTGTTCTTCTAAATGTGGAAGGAAGCAATCGATTAAGAGGGAATACTAGGATTAATGTTACAACCGAGAGTGTCATCGGCGGCCCGAGGCCCGCATGCACACGTTTTATATACGTGAGGGGATGATCGTTCACGGCGGCGAACAGTCCTCGCGACACGTTTACACGGCTTTTCTTCGCCGCCGCGAGATGCGAATCGATCTACCTTCGTTAATTAATCCTCTTCTCGACGTGTATTTATCGATGATACGCAACGAGAAATAAGAGATGCTCAACTTTTTATATCGTTTGCGTATGTAAAAAAAAAAAGGTACAGCGACGCGGAGGAGCGCGGCATTAATCGCGATGCACCGCGATGTTTTTTCTAAATCAGCCTCGACACACATATACACACACTATACATATATACATATTTATGTACATATAAATATATATGTATATACACGCACACATACATATATATACAGGAGAAGTTGTATATATGCATTCGTGCCCCATGTGAAACATGCGTAAACCGTTCCTATCGCTCTTCGTTTACGCTTCTTCTTGTCAATCATGAGAATTTTGTCAAGGAAAAGAGAGAAAGAGAGAGAGAGACAGGATAAAACGCAACGAAACTCTCGCTCTCTTCTCTCGGACGGCCTTTGCGGTACCTCTGGACTCGAATTGCAGTCTCACGGTGACTTCTTTTCCACGTTTTACTATTAATATTAATGACTATTATTAAAGCAACGTTAAATACGAGAGCGAGCCGAGTAATGTCCAGTTCTATCAATATGGATCAACTTTAATCCCGGTTCAACGTACTTTTGTATCTTTTTCTAATTTTAAGAATTGGAAAAAGACAAAAAGCAAATAAAATCAAGATTAAACTTTATCTACATTGGTAGAAATGTGCACATAAGTTTACGAGTGCGTAAATCCGATATCGATCATAGTCCAAACCGGGAGGGATATTATCGTCCACACTCGATTTTTCCTCGCGTGTCGAAAAAAAGGGAGGGGGGAGGCAGAGAAGTGAATAACAAAAAACGAAAGCACAATAATGTCGCGGTAGCACGTCACGTAGAGTCCTAGCCACAGAGGACGAATTTGTATATTACTCAATCAGCAGGGCGTTACTCTCTACACACACACACACACACACACACACACACACACACACACACACACACACACACACGTATACACTATACATGCATACGGTACCACGTAGACACGATTTTAGAATGTTGTAATTATTATTTTTAATTAACATTTAATCCCTAACTACGTTCAAGTCTACACTCGTAATCACCCTTTGTCATTCATTTTGACAAAAGGATCTGTTGCAATGTAAATAAACTTATATTTATACGAGTTATTGCATCTCTCTTTTCCACATTTTCTCTCTCGCCACATTTTAGCTCCCCTCTTCGCCTTAAAAGTATATCGCTACTATTTTTGGGCCATGCCTTCGTCATTTTCAATTGAACCGATTTACGTTTTCTATTCGTCGTTTAGAATAACAAAGAGAATTGTGCAAGTCATTCGTCACTCGGGCAGTCGTCTTCACCGATTGTGATGAAACGTACAGTTGTAAAAATGTATATAATCTTTGACCTTTCGATATTTTCACTTATAATGTCAATTGAAAAATATATCGAATGACATTGAAAGAAATATAAGATATTCCTTTGCAATTTAATTTACTAGACCACATTATTTTCGTTGCCATGCAAAAATAATTACCATATGGAATAGATAAGAATTTCATTGCGGCATAGTTTAATTCTTATCAAGGCATACCGTTGTGTCAATAAATTTCGAAGGAAACGTATGTCTTTTCGAGGTTAATATTTTTTTGCTGTATTTATTTATATATTGTATCGTGTACATTTGCGTCCTAATCGATATTTCGTTGAATATTTTACAATTAAAAAATATTAAGCCTTTTTTATGTTTTGAAGAAAATATATTTCTTCTAAATTAAATGTAACGTTGCATAATTTTCATTGTGCTACACGTACGCTCTAAATTACATGCATATAGATAAGAATGACTTTCTATCGAATATATACAGTAGATAAGAATTCACCATGACATACTTTAATTCTTATAATATCGATAAAGTTAAATTTATTCTTTTCTTTTATTAAGAAAAAAACAAGGTGAATTTATTAGAAAGTAGGAAGACAGAATTAATTCATAGCCTTGACGGCTTTGCCTTGAAAATTATTAGAAGCTCCTAACTTAATTCATAGAATAAATTAACCTTGTAGTTTTATTAATTGTGGAATAGTTGTAGTTTTCCTGTGGAATTATAATATATAATAATACAATAAATGATATAATCTAATATATATACTCATATATATATATAAATATATTTATATATATGTATATATATTATATTACTAATTGTGTTAAAATTATATACATATAAAAGACGATATAATTTTAATACAATTTATGCAGTAACACGTTGCGGTATACAGATATATCAATGCATATTCCAAAATTTCTGAATTAAATCATCGGTCCCGCGAGTCATTTAATATCGAGTATTATTTTACGGTTCAGTACGTAGCAATGTAAATCTTTGCCAGGCCCTTAATTTTTCCGATAACAGAGTCCCTCTTTCGAGGTCGAGAGACGCCCGCAGCTCTCGCTTGAGACGATACGCCACATATATATTCTTTTCTATAATTCTCCTTCGCGACCCGCAATATACGAACGGCATTCCTACGCGTCAGCGTCGGGTATTCGGTTCGGAGCGTATATTTTTATCATATCATGCCACGTAATCTCTAAGCAGGTCTTTTTTTGCTGACGGCTCATGCGCGCTGAGAGAGCCGCCGATGGATTTTCCAGCTTTGCGCCCCGCCATGTTAAGATTCGCGATGCTAATTTGCATTCTCCTGCGTATGATTGCGAGAGAGCTGCAATCGAACTTCGCGTACATCGCTCGAACTTTGTAACACGTCACGTTAATGAACACTGCACACCGTTATGGGCGTTACGCGCGACGACTTATCGTGCGCGGGGTATCTCTCGCGATAGTAGAAAAGAATATATAGTGAATAGTCGCTCGACTATTAACAGACTAATGTATAACGTTTGAGAATAACAAAGGCAACAATAAGAAACAAAAAAGAAAGTTGAAATGGAGAGGTATTGATGCGTAAACATTAGACAATCTCGCGGAGACCAAAATAAATTCTCTCGAGGATTCTATAAATATTAAAGCTTGGGATTTTTTCCCAAAAATTAATTTTTACAGATCCTTGCATATGTGTTTGCTCGCCTTTTCCGGGATAAAGAAATTATTTATTAGAAATATATTAGGAATTGATAATTGAATCGCTCGAGGTCGATTGATAATTTAATCGACGATTTTATTTGTGAATCGGTTAGGTTAATTACTGTAACAAAAGACTCTTGACAAGTTCAACAACTCGTCGTCCATTTTTGGACTGGATCGTGTTGATTTATGACACGAAGATAGATAGATAGAGAGAGGGAGGGAGAGACGAGAGTATTCATTCCGCCGAGGTTAGCTGCGAACGTGCGTTTATTTATTAACTTCGCATTTCGTGTAGTACGTACACGCGGGTATATCGTTGATGCCTTGACGCGTGAATTGAGGCGTCTTTCGGGACAAGCGTTTTCCACACACGTCCCGAAAATAATACGCCTAAAATTCACGCGTCAAGGAACCAACGATCCCACGTGTACATGTACAATCGTGGACACATCGGTTGCGACACATTCTTTTTTATTATATAGATTTCAAAACGCACTAACATTTTGCAAATGCGGACCACGATTGGTGTTCTACTGTCTCTAGACTAAAGATAGTAAACATCGTGGTTCGCATTTGCAACGTATTAGTTATCTATAAAGTATATATTATGTATACTAAATATATACATAATAGAAACCTATAAAAAAAGTGTCGCAACCGATGTGTCGACTGTACACACGGCGACAGAAATGCCTAGCCATCTGAACTTGCAGGAATACCGGCTCATATATTATGTATACATACATGTATGTGTATTCAAAATATATGTACGTATTGTGCCCAGCTGCAAATTCAGGCTAGGCATTTCTGATGTCGTGTGTACAAGTGGGTACACCGGGCGAGATGATCGGTACATGGGAACCGCTGATACGATGGACGTGTATACTCTCTCTCTCTTTCTCTCCTTTTCCTTCTCTTGTTCCTTATTCCCGAAGATCGCTCCTCTCGAGAAACCATATGAATTGAATTAAACGTCATTGAAGGTTAATTCGACCTGACGCCGCGCGACGCGGATCGCGGAAAGAAAAGGCAATTCCGTCGCCGGCCCTGAACAATCAATATGGCCTCCAGCCGTTGCCTCGGCCAGGCACGGGCACGGAGCACGCCGAGCGTAAGCGCGGCCATTTTCCTCTCTCCCTCTCTCTCTCTCCCTCCACCGTTGTTTTCGTTTCAACGGGGAACTTCAGGCGCGCGGTCGGTTCTCGGGCCGCTTCGCGCCGCTTCGGGATCGTCGATCCGATTAGTCGAGCGGCCTCGAATCGGGATTCGGGAATTCTCGACTCGCCGCGAGACCGAGAGGTCCGAGAGAGGCTGCTGCTGGCTGAGACTGCTGAGAGAGAGCCAGAGGAGCAGCAGCTCAGAAGTAAGCTGAAGGTAGTCGATCGGAAGCAAACGAGGAACACGCGTGCGTGCGTGCGGTTACCACCTTCCGTGTCCCGCGGCGCGGTGAGGCGAGAAGGCGAGAGAAAGAGGGAACGAGGGTGCGAAGGAGGGGCAGGAAGGGGGGGTAGAGGCGAGTAGCGGCGTCCCGCCATCGGTGGCGACTGGCGGCGGTGGATGATCGACGGGTGCGCGTTGTCGATAAGCGTCGCCGATAAGCGCGTCGGGGTGAGATCGATCGCCGCGCCGGAAAGCGGCGCCGTTGAGAGTCGGGCAGGTAGAACGAAGGGCGGAAGGAAAGAAATAGATCGAAAAAAGGGGAACCGGCGAGAAAAAGTACGGATTTTTCCGCAGAAGACGAGTGGAAAGAGAGAGAGAGAGAGAGTGTGTCTGTGTGTGTGTATGTGTGTGTATATGTGAAAGGATAATTCTCGAAGGATACGCGGAGCAGGAGCATGCACCGGTAGTCGGACAGAGGTGGACAGAATGAGATACGTCTTCGGAGGTACGCGTCGCCGATCGTCGCAGCGGGTCTGCCGCTCGTAGCGGTGGCTGGCTGCGTGCACCAGGCATGGCCGACGTAGCGTCGCCGAAGGGCGACAGCGAGCTCGTCGTCGCGACGCCCGAAGGGTGTCGGGCGCCACCGGCGACGGAGGCTGGTGGCGTCAACGGCGGAGAGGGGGACATGGCCGCCACCGCCGTCGCCGCAAACAGAGTTGTCGACGACAAGGTCAGTATTCACGAGATCCTCGAGGGGATGACGAACGAGTTTAACAAGGATGTGAGCCCGTCGAAGAGTAATGACAGTGACAAGGTGGAAGCGGACGAGACGGTGACGACGTCGACGAAGGCCGCCGACGAGGCGTCGTCCAAAGGGGAGAGAGAAGTTGACGGTGTCAGCGAGGAGGCTGCCGAAGATTCGGAGGACGTAATTACTTTTCAGACCATGGAGGAGAACTACAACGGCGAGGAGGAGAGTTCAGTTGCGGGTAAACAAGAGGCTATCAAGAAGGACAACAAGGCCAGAATCGTCTTGACGTTCAGGACCATCGACGAGAATACGGATCATGGCAAGAAGACCAAGATATCCAGCTGTTCCTCTAATCTCACTTTAGTTCCCGACGAGTTGGCTTGCAATAATATCGGTGGTGTCCTGGTAAAAATAGAGAATTCTGATGAGAATTCCGATGTGGTGGAAGAGTCTCAAGCTGAAGAATCCCAAGCGGAGGAGTCCCAAGCCGAGGAGTCCCAAGCGGAGGAGTCTCAAGCGGAGAAGTCTCAACCAGAGAAGACTCAAGCAGAGGAGGCAAAGAAGAAGGAATCTACGAAGGCGTTGGAGTCAAAAATGAATGAGGACAAAGTGGAAACTACAGAAGAGAAACACAATAATGATACACAGCTCGCTAGCCAGAAGGAGCCCGAGATCATGGAGAATAATACCGAAAACAGCAACGATAAGACGATATCGACAGAAGGCACTGCGCAACAAGAAGCTACTGCGCCAGTTACCAGGAAGAGAAGAATTGGACGACCTAGATTACGAGCACTTAGGTTTTTTGTTTCTTCTTTTACTACTTTTGTTGAATGTTTAGGTGTGTGACATTTGTATAAACCTGTTTCCTTCATTTTCAGTGATTCGATGCCTCAGGATGAGGAACCTCCTGGTCCCAAGCGTTCGGCTAGAAGGCTGTGTAAAGAGTCTGTGAAGAGCACTGTACTGGAAAGCGCTATGGCACGCAAGGAAAAGTCCAATTACACGGAGGAGTTCGGGAAGAGGAAGTACAACAAACCGGGTCGACCCAAGAAGATTGTCCCGGGCAAAGAACAGATAAAGCAGACCCAAGCAAAGCTCCCCGATGGCCGCCCGGATATGGAAACGTCGCAAATAGCGTCGTCCGACGGCAATAGCACGGTTGACAGTACGATATTAGATTCTTCGCGTAACGCTTCTTCGTTAACGGAGAATAGCGTGAATGACAGTGTTATGGAGGACTCGCAGACGTTCTCGTCCGACTTCGAGGGAATGCCGAAGCTGTCGCCGATGACGAGGAGCTCGGAATCGCATGCCAAACTGGGCAACTCCATCGGCAGTCCTGGCAGCGACGACATACCTTTGTCGGATATTCAGAAGCCTTTCCTAAAACCTGCCACCCAACCCGCCGTTCGACCCAAGAGGGAGAGGGGACGTCCTCGTGGAAGCACTCAAGCAGCGCGAAAGATAGCGAAGGCAGATCTGTACGAAGGTGATGTAATGTCTGCATAAATAGTAAATCTCTCTTTCGGTCACAGCGGTTGTAGTCACAATTAATAAATTATCTTGCAGATGGTTCTCCATCCGTTGCAGAAGCGGGAAAAAATAACGATTATCCTGAAGGTAAAGCTTTAGTTTTTAATGGATATAAAAAGACGAGTGAAAGTATTTTTGAGTGGAAAGTTAGCCATGGAGGTATATTTCTCTTCTCTACACTTTCTTGTAAATATCAAAATATGAGTGAAGTGGTATCTTATTAATAACATTTTATATCAACTTCAATACAGAAATACCGGTCAAACGAACTCGCCGGAGTATGGTGCCGAGCCCAAGTCCCGCGGAAGGACAGGCGTCAAAACCGGAATCGACGGCGATTATGAGTGAAGTGAGTATCATCTGTTTTTTTATATAATATTAGTGCAATAAATCGGGATTATAAAATCGGGAAATAAAACTTATAATTTTGTAATTTAACTTTAACTTTTATAATTTAAGCAATTTATATGATTATATATTTAATATATTTAAATAATTTATATGAAAGATTTTATTAATATATTTAAATAATTGTCTTTAAAATCTCATTTATCGGCATATATCAATAAATATTCATTACTCGTATATGTATACAGTATTCTCCTATTTATTGTTAGTAGGAAAAAAAATTTAACACAAATATCCGATTTTAGGATTCTCATCTATTTTTTTAAATCAATTTTAGGTATACACGCAGTCCATGCTGTGCCTGTGCCAAGTACGATCTCAGTTATACGTTACGATAACCGGTTCCGGCGGTCCACTCTACTGCACTGCTATCGACTCGATTGACAGTCGGGTGGTGGGCTGTTGCAACGAGGTGGATGCCAACGATGTGGCGATGCGGCGGCCGAGCACTCGCGTGCCTTTCATTATTCTCTGCCGTATGCACAAGGAACGGCTGCTGCGACACAACTGCTGTCCGTCCTGCGGCATGTTCTGCTCGCAGGGTAGGTTTGTCCAGTGTATCAATGGCCATCAGTATCATCGCGAATGTGAGATATACCCGAACAAGAAGGGCGTCTGTCCGCACTGCAGTAGCGAGACTGCAGCCTATGACGTGATGGTGACGATGAACGGCATGAGGCGGCCGGTTTTCATTCCCACGCGGAAAAAATTTTCCAAGTTGCCATCCGCAAAGATGAGCCTACCCGGTAAGGGTGACAACACAAAGTTGGCCGAGCGTCCGCCCAGTCCGTTGATTAAGCCGGACGTTATCAAGATACCCGAACCGTCGATTAATGCCGAGAGGCCAGAACGTTACACCATCATGAGTCTCTACACGTCCGTGAAGAATGGGGATCTTGAAAAGTTGGTGAATGTATTAGGTGAGTGCCTTACTGAGAGATGGGAGAATTCAAATGAATTTGATGATATATAATTGAGTTATAAAGTTGGAAATTTCCTCGAGAATCGCAGATTTCTTCCCATTTTTATCTATTTATATCTTATTAAATAAATGTTTTATTTATAACTAACTGTTAAATTGAGACTTATTATTTAAAGTTCTCAAATTCCATGTAATAAATTATATTTTTAGCGAATCATGAAAATGCCATTTACATACTTCGACAGCCTAATTATCATGTCATTATAATATACGATTTATGAATTCCAGCATGTGGCTACAATGCAAATCACACATTCCGGGATTACGCTCACCGGACCGGTCTGCACATAGCGGCAGATAAAGGCCATTTGTCGTGTGTACATGTTCTGGTTCAAGCTGGTGCTCAAGTAGACGTAATGGATAGGAACCAATTAACGCCGCTAATGCTAGCCGCGAGTAAGGGCAATGCCGCCGTGGTGAAATACCTAGTCAGGATAGGCGCCGATGTTACGCTGAAGGGCGAGGACGGTATGACCGCCCTGCACATGGCTGCTAAATCCGGTCACCTAGAAGTCTGCAAAATCATTCTGACTGAGTGTAAAGTGCCGAGAACATTAGTAGGTAATGCGCGCTGCACCGAGCTTGCCTCTAATGTTATGAGCAATTTGTGTTGTTTGCTTTTTAGATTTGGTGCTTTACGCCTGCTGACGTTTTTGTTTACAGACTCTGTGGACGACGGCGGGTGGACAAGTCTAATCTGGGCGTGCGAATTTTGCCACGCGGATGTCGCACGGTATTTATTGGACAAGAAGTGCGATCCGCTTATCCGGGATGCTGAGCAGAATATAGCGCTGCATTGGAGTGCCTTCAGCGGCAGTTCCGAGATCACGGAGATGCTTCTCAACGAGGGATGCGATGTGAACGCTGTCAACGTTCACGGTGATACACCCTTGTACGTTTCATATTTCTCTTGCGGATTGTCCTCTTAAAATTAATTCTCTTCACTATATTACGTAAACACGGCAAAAATTTATTGCGACAATAGTTATTTTGAATAAGTTGAATTTTTTAAAGACAATTGTTTTGTTAATTATAAAATATCTCTTTCAGACACATAGCGGCTAGACAGGATCAATACGCAGTTAGTGTTCTGCTGCTGGCACGTGGTGCTAAAATAGGAGAGGTAAATGTTGCCGGCGAAACCGCGGTGAATTGCTGCGTCTCGGATGGCGATACCATGGCTGCCTTGAGATTGAACGCAAAAGTCAACGAACTCTCCGAACATATGTGGGAAAAGACGGTTAAAATATTGACGAAGTAAGTATGGAATTTTATTAAGTGGACAGTGCGGCTATCGATATAAATAAATACACAACATATGCTGTAATCTTATGAAAATTACCTTCATAATTATTATTGAATTATTAAGATATTAAGAACTTTATTATACAATTTTTGTCGGAAATACTGTTACAACATTAAAAATTATATTATACAATAAAAAAAGTTCTCATTTATCTGATCTTTTCTTTTATAATAATTTTCATTTCTTGTTCGTTTTTTTTTTTATAGTGACATTTCACGCGGAAAGGAAACAAATCCTATACAATGTGTCAACGGCTACGATTCGGAGGACAAACCGACGGATTTTCTTTACGTAACGGAGAATTGTTTTACGAGCAATATCAATGTGGACCGCACAATTACATCGTTGCAGTCTTGTCGATGTGAGGACAATTGCAGTTCCGAAAAGTGCTTGTGCGGAAATATAAGTTTGCGCTGTTGGTATGATGAGGAGGGAAAGCTCATACCAGAATTTAATTATGCAGGTATCTATTTAAATGTCAACGTTTAAAAATTTGCACGCAAAAGAACATTAGATTCCATTCAATTATTTAATTCCATAAAATTAATTGAACTCACAGAGAAATTTATTAATTTTCTACGAAAATGATTTTATCAAGTTTGATATCTTAACAAGTAACATTTCTGTCACAGATCCGCCAATGTTGTTTGAATGTAATCCAGCTTGCGACTGTAACCGCATAACATGCAACAATCGAGTGATTCAACATGGGCTGACGCAACGGTTTCAATTGTTTCGCACAAAGGGCAAGGGCTGGGGTCTCCGAACACTCCGACATATCCCTAAAGGCACCTATGTTTGCGAATATGTCGGCGAGATAATCTCAGATTCCGAGGCTGACCATCGCGAAGATGACTCCTACCTGTTCGATTTGGACAACAGAGTAAATTATATAATTCTTACTTTAATTTATAGAAGCGTGAAAAGTAGTTTTGCTTTCATTATTTGCATACATATTGTTTTTATAATTTCTTTTATTTAAATTTTCAAAATTTTCTTAAGATAAGCAATACTATGATTTATTACTTAATTATCATGAGATATTTTTTTTGTTTCTTGTTTCTATTATGAAATAATTATTTTACTTAAAATTATATGCAGAGAATATCAGAATTGATATTTTATTTGATAAAGCATCTACTCTGCTAAATTATTCAGCCCACATTTTCTGTAATAATTTTTATAAATTTTAATCTTAAATTTAAATACTTAAATTTAACAAACGTAACTTGTTTTGGCTACTCTAGAGATTTTGGATATATTTTTCTGAAAATAAGTTTGTTTCGAGCATCTTATACATTTACAATTTGTTTTTTTTTACAACTGTTTCTTACTGATATTATATAGTTTATTAAATCTATCCATTTTATTTGAGATTGTAAAAAGAAAAAATTTCAACTATGTACAGGACGGAGAAACGTATTGTATAGACGCGAGACGTTACGGGAACATTGCTCGATTCATTAATCATTCATGCGCGCCGAATTTATTGCCAGTACGAGTATTCGTCGAACATCAGGATCTGCATTTTCCAAGGATAGCGTTCTTCGCTAATCGCGACATCGAGGCAGATGAAGAGCTCGGGTATGTTAAAAAGCGGTTGTAAGTCATTGAGACGCCAAAAAAATCACTGAGACACTCTCACTGAGCATTTAAATTAACTAACAGGAACACATTGTTGCACCGCATTTTTCCGTTAATAAATTTAATATTGTTTAATATTTGTTTTTCGTTCTATCAACGGCACGTAGTTATTTTTTTACTTTTATTACTTCATATTTCGTCTTTTTAACTCGTGATTCAAATATATATTTTGATATAATCATTTTGATATAGTAACAAAGTAATACAATTCTGTTTATCTTTTGTTCAATGTAGACTGACGAAATGTTATGTTTGTCCAATAAAGATATTTGGCATAATAATGTTTAAATAATCCTTATAATCTTTCAATATTAGATTATACTGTCATTCATTCTTTCATTTTATTATTTCTTTCTCGAGAGAGCTCAAATCATAATTATTTTCTTATTTTCCTTGATATAATTGTGCAAGATTTTAAAATGCGAGTTTTCTTTTTATTTAACGCGATTTTTAACAAAGGCATACAATTTATCATACTTACGTATCCAATATTAACGCACGACGGATTAAGGTGACGGTATCTTTAATTCACAAATCACAATTTCATTCTGTTCTTTTTTTTTACGTCACGTTTTTTTGCTAACATGCACGATGGACCAATATGGATCTGTTTTTCCCTTAGCTTCGATTATGGTGAGAAATTCTGGATAATAAAGTGCAAGTCCTTCACATGTACCTGCGGTGCGGAAAACTGCCGTTACTCTGAGAAGACTATACAAGTTACGCTGGATAACTACCGGAGAAAGATACAGCAGGAGGAAATGCTGGCAGCTCAAACCTCGTCGTAACCTTAATGCGATTTAGCTTAATTCTTTAGGTGTTTACGATCTTTCGCGAACCGGACATATGATGACGATGATCAACGACGGCGGCGATCGTGTCTCTCGTCGATCAAGTGTTAGTTTTCTGCGTCACTTCGCGCCGCGAAATTGATTGCCGCGACGCGCGCGGAATCGTAAAAGTACAAATGCAAAACGGTGATGGGATGATAAGCGCTCGATTAGGTTCTTTCATCGATGTTTCCTTACGCTGTATATACTAATCGGCTTTTCGCAGCGGTCACGTTCGGTTGCGTTATTGTTTTTACCGAACACCCGAACGCGTTGAGGTGAAATTGACAGCCGGTCTATCAAGATTGTTATTGCTCGTTTTTTGAGTATTAATGAATTTTAATAGTGATTTGATGGAAAAGTAAACTGACTTGATAGAATGTGCGTGTTAAGAAAGAGGAAAATGTAGTGATAGATCAATTTATCAAAAACATTTACGATAGATATTTATGATTTTTGTTAAGAATTAATTTTTCGGAAGCGTCCCATTTTCCCTTGGCAGACCGGTGGTTAATGACATTTGTATTTTATATAATGGATCTTCAATTTTTTTACTTGAAGAGTTTGTGACGAATGTAGTTAATACGTTTTGCAAGATATCTTTATCACATTTCTCTCTTAATTCTCTTTCGAGTCAAACCTAAGGAAGTTTTAATGTCGCGTCTCCCGTCCGTATTTTCTCTCAGGTTTGCTCGTACTTGTTTCCTACTTTTCCCGATCTTTTCCGCGAGAACGCAACAACTTTACGAGAAAGTGCCACGGCGATCTTTTCTTTTTTTTTTCCATTCGCCCCCTTTTTTTTAAACGAGATAACGATGCGCATAATATATGTATATGACGATTAGATAGTTTTGCATGTGTGAGGTGCGAAAGTAGTAAATTGTACGTTGAGAATATTGTTACGATCCTACTCGGATGAAGTATGTGATTGCAGGAAATATAGGTATGTGAAGCTACTATCGCTTTTCAGTGAATCGATGTTGGAATGATCGCAGCCGCGTGTTCGTGTGTTCCTTATTATAAAGCGTCACGCTATTTTATTCCAATTAAGTCGCTCGTATCCCGGAGTAAAGCGTTTTAACGTTGGGTTCACTACAAGCGATGTAATATATAAGCATACACACCTTTTTGTACAAACGACCGATTTTTTGTATAATAAAAGTTGTAGTCCTTTTTAACGGGCGAGTTCTCCTTTTGCACCAATCTAATTAAAATGAACGAGAGAGAAAAACGAAAGGGAGGAATAATCTGAAATTTTATAATGAGATTGAATTTATCGATTTTTTTTAATATTTGTAATATCTTTTATATAAAATAAATTTTTTTGTAATAATCCCCCGATGCATCCTCATCTTTCAATGTTCTATGGTAACGTCTAGAGAAAGTTGAATACAATCTAAGAGATGGCGCTAAAAGTATGTTTTATTGTTTCTGTATTAAAATGGATTAATTGAAAAAAATTAGATTTATTAAATTTTTCTATATCTATTAACTTTTTACGATTTTCACAATTATTAAAATATTTTAAACGTAATTTTATAGGTTTATTTTATAGTCATGGCATATTTTTTTATACAAAGAAAAAAATTAATGGTAGTATGTTAAAAACTGAAAGGGATTCAGAAGAATACATTCATTGTACGAATTTCAATTATATTTAACTTACAAATCATGTCTAGATTATAATAAAGAAAATCTCGTTTTGATTTATTTCAATTTATCTTCTTTTAAAAATCATTTATTTTTTTAACAAATTTCTTATTTCTATATCTCAAATCTCGATACTGTGATCTTAAACATTCAATCGGCACAGCCGAATGAAAAACTTTTACATTATCTATTGCAGCAGATCAGAATCTACGCGTGAAAATTATTTCGGTTAATATTAATGCTTCACAATTTAATTCGGAAATGAAATTATAAAATTATGTCTTACGTGCGGAAATTTTCGGATTTTAATGATTATTATTTCAAGAATTTTACGATTTATTATTCCGAGGGGGATGTGAAATATATTTAAAACAACAAAACAAATTAACAATGCGCGAAACAATTAATTTCTGAAAAACGCGCTAACGTCAGTACATATACACTTTAAAGAAATACACACGACTTTGTACCTTTGAAACGACGTTTACGCGATTTTTCTGATTTCGCCAGACATCCGCTTAGCGAGTGGTGGAAAGAAATTAAAAAATACCGCCCGGGGAAAGAGGTTCTATTTTATTTCATTTTTTTTTTTTTTTTTTACAGAATTGAAGTAGCGCGGCGTTTGTACCGCCGGCGGGCAACGGCGCGCCTGCGCAGTGACCGGGCCGCGGGCAGCGGCGCGGCGCGGCCGCTGATTGGTCGGCGCGCGCGCGCTCGCTGGCACGAAATTCAAGTCGAGTCGCAGCAGTTAGTGTAGCGACCGTGGAGTGAGCGCGCTTGAAGGCGCGACGCCGTGTAGCCGCGTAGAATTTATCGTAGGTACCTTTTTTTCATCCGTACGAACGCGCGCACGGGTACGCGCGCGCGCGCGTGCGTCCGCGACACACTCTCTCTCTCTTTCTCTCTTTTTTCCTTTTATCGTTACAATTATATTACGGGCGGCTCGTTGTTACGTATTCCGCGAGTGCATCTCCCGTACGCGTCCGCGGCCGTGTTCGCGATTGTCCGCACGCGCTTCATCGGAGTTCACCCCCTCGCGATTCACCGTTTCTTACGTTTCCCCGGTTCTCTCGTTTTCTTTTCACGCGTGGGCGTGCGCGCGATTCTCGTGCCTCTCTTTCTCTCTCTTTCTCCTTTTCTTTCTCTCCTCTCTTTCTCTCTCTCTCTCCCTCTTTCTCGCCGGTAAAATTCTCGCGGGCGAAGGAAAAGCGAAAGGAGAGAAGTGCCCGATCGCCGACGATGACATGTCGCGACGCGCGATCGAAGTCAGTGTGTGTGCGACGGTGTTGATCACGGTGCTGGCGGCGATCGTCGACGGGCGTTTAGTATGACGACCAGCTGACGGATGTATCTCTTCTCTATCTCCTCACGGCGTCGGCGGGGCTGACGATTGAACGGACAGCGGAAGGTAAGCGGGAATATGGCTCGGTTATACACTGTATACATCGCATCGAATCGCGCGTCGCTCGACGGTGCTCCATTTTGCGATACTCGCGAATTCACGCGCCATTCTGCCGACGCACGGCGCGTTTCTGTACAAGGATTAATTCGATGTTACATATACCCTGATCGGAAATCATCGAATGTAAGGGGAGAATGGCGAGAAGAAGTGTAAATGAAATTTCTGGGGAGCGCGAATCGAAACGGCGGAGCGGAAAGGAGAGGCGTTTTAAAAAATGATTTCCCGTTACACTGTTCCAATTTACGCTTTCTAGAAGTTTCCCCTTTATACGCTCACGTTTCACACTCGACTTACGTTTCGAATCTTTGTTTTCGCTGGCGGGAGATTATATCCAGTGAGAAGTGAATTTTCATCGAATTGATGTCGAATCGACATCTACACGATGATTTCGTCATCGATTCGACATGCCGTATAATTGACGATCATTTATCACTGGGTATAATGGAGTGAATCTCCCCCAATATTACGTATCGTACGCAATTTAAGCCATGTAAGATTCAGAGACTTTTGATTCAGACGATTTTCCGGTTCGTCTCGTTTGATCTCTGCGATTGATCTTTCACGATGGAAGCTCTCTCGTGAAATTAAGTCCACCAGTTGCAAAAGCTGGCATCAATTGTGAGCGGATAATATCCCGCTGCTTCTCCTTTCCTTCCTTCCTGCGTAGTTCGCTCAATAAAATGGTTAAGTCTTTGAGCTCAGAACATGTAACAAAAGGAATTGTTGATAACAACCATAAAATTTCTGATCTCCCTTCGATACATAAAATATAGATTGCAAGAAAAATAGCAAGAAAGAAGCGATTAACATTTAAACATTTAATTCGATAGATCTTTGCATTCTCTAACAATAAGCGGACATTTCAATCGATCTTCGATTGTTAATTATCCAAGGATTAAAGAATTTCGATGACATATTAATAGATAGTAAATTTTCCAATAGAAGTAACGAAGTATTTTATTAATTTTATTGATAAGCAAATTAACAATAGAAATCAATTTATTTTATTGACAAGTGCAATCTCCTTTTCCTTTGTGCGCTCACATTTTTAGTCATATTTATAAATTGAATATTAATGGTGTATAGAAACAATTTATTAGATTTTCAATTTTCTTTCTTATTCTTTATCCGCACAAAAAGTCACGCTGTTTTTCTCTCTTGAAAGAAAGTTAAAATCTTCTTTTCTAAAAATATCTATATTTAAGATGTGTTAGATTATAATTATATATATTATTAATATAAATTATTCTCTCTCTCTCTCTCTTTTTCTCTCTTTCTGTGAGTTTTTCTAAAAAATTACTGCAAAGATTTCATATTATTTTTACGTAGAATCACATAATTGCAATTAAATTCAATTAAAGCGAGATCCTTTAAATTTATTTCTTTGATATTTTACTCTTTTCTTTATTGAGTATTATTGTAGTTGTCATAAATGACTTTTTCTCTCGAAAAGTTGCGTTCTTTCACCTTTTTCGGCTACTTTTATATCCTAAAAAGTCCGGCAATTACGGAAATGTGTATTATTATAGTTTGAAAGCGAAATTCTTGCGGCCGAGCAATGTTGCTTGAAAATTGACGGCTTTTGTTGACTTTCCGCGTACAACTCACGAGCATCTGCGGAAATTGATTTTGAGAACTTATGTCAAAGCGAAAAAGAGATTTTTATTGAAACACAGATAAAACCTTGTAAAAATTATTATTTCGAGAAAGCAAAATCGAAATGGTTTAGCGCGACTATCTTTTATTTCAAATCTTATCTCCAATTAAATTATTTCAATTACTATAATTTTCTTTTATTATTTTTGCCAATGTTGTTGAGATATGGTACACATAACGTTTCGCTGTTTTAAATTAATTAACAGAAAAGATTGATCTTAACTTTCTTTTAACGATAAAATAGGATCATTCTTTTTTTGAAATATTAAATATTGGTAACTATATATATCAGATATAAATATCTTAATTAAATTTTAATCAGGAAGAAATTATTAGGTATTCTATACGTTACTGTATATTATGCAATAATTTATAATTATATTGAAAAAATAAGAGAATATTTTTTGTGTTGTAATATTTATTTAAATATTATATTCATCAATTAACTTGCCCAAATGCGAAATAATTTTACTTGTAATTGTATATTTATTTTTTTCTATTGTTTCTTTTTTCAGTCTTGTATGTTTGATTTGATATAAATCTCTTTGATTTTCACTAGAAATACGAATTACTATATTTTGTAATAAAAACGATTTATTTCTTGGCGAATAAATATTACAACTTTTAATTTGATGCAATTTGCAAAGAAAAATTTTGGTCATTTAGAAAAATTTGTACATATTTAAAAATTAAACATATAAACGTAGCGGAAGAGTGAAATACAAGTACGTTCCTTTAAAAATAAATATTGTATACAGTTAAAAGGATATATATTACGCTACGCACAGTCCGAACACTTTCGTGTTTTCCTGCGGAATTTAATTAGGGAATCGCTAATTACCACGATCGAAATTGCCGACTCCTCGATATTCCCCGACGTTAATGAATTGGTTGTTGAAAGTGCAGTTTTTCGCGAGATTTTCCTTCCTCGCTGCACATTCAAATATCACCGGAAAACGCTCTTTGAAAAATAATTATCTTTAAGGATCATAATTTATATCAACTTCTTAAGTCAAACTTTAAGCGATGCTTTAAATACCTTCGATTTTCCTTAATTAAAGCTGTAAAAACAGCTTTTTATATACTTACTCGTAGGTCAATTTTTGAGTAAAATCTTGGTTAAACGGTGCGATAAATATTTTGCATAATGGTGATTTGTTTATTGCAAATTTTGATGATTTACTTGATTTATTCGTCACGGTATAATAAGCGCGTATTTTGTTACAAGTCGATTTGCCACACGAATTGCAATCGACTGATACTGCCTAATTGGCCATCCGCCGCATTCAAAATTATTCCTTCTAGTATAATTCTCGTGACTGGCGCATTATCGCTATTGTTCGCGTCAGCCTTATTTCGCCGCTTCTTGTTATTGGTCCCGTCGTATTCTTACACTTTAAGCAGAGATCC